GGGAGGTGTAGCCGACAGCCATGCAGGCAGCCCAGGGCCCTGGGCACGGTCAGCTTGGCCAGCGCACGTAGCTGCCTCTGTTCCCTGTGGGCCCAGAAGCACAAGGCCAGGCAGTCCTGGCATGCTGCTGGCGAGAGGGCCGGGTAGGGCCTTGAGCTGGAGGGCACTTGCGGCCCTTGAGGGAAGCCCCGCAGTCATGTGGGCCGAGGGGGAGGGGCTGCAGGGCCATGGTGGTGCTGCGTCTCATCCACCTACCGGGACCCTTGACAAGAAAGCCTTCCCTGCGGAAACTTGGCCGCGGGGCACTGGGGGTGGCTTCCGGCCCCCAATGGGGGCGTCCAGGCGAGGCAAAGGAACGAAAGCTGTGCAGGGGACGGAGGGCCTGTCTTGTGTCTTAAGCGTGGGATTCGATGGCGGCCGGTAGGCAAGCCTCGTTCCGACGGGGGTGTCCCCAGGGTGCATGGGGTTGGGCAGTGACAGACACCTTGGACCACTGTGCCCAGGGCAAAGGGGACGTGAGGACATCCTGGGGCGAGGCCGCGAGAGAGGCCCAGGGTGGCCTCCGGAAACACGAGGAATGGACATAAAACATGAGCTGAGATGGAGGCAGCCGGCCCTCTTGGCCCCCTACCACCCACCCATTCTACCCGCAAGAGAAGCACACACTGAGCCTTGGCCTTTATTTTCTTCACTTTCTGGTCCCCGTGTAGAAGTTGGTTCTTGCCCTTCCCTTCACTGTTCTTTGGGGTGGAGATATGAGATACTCAATAGATGATTTCTTTGAATGGACTCCTCAACTTTATATATGGCAAGTAGAGCCAGAACTGGTGGTTTTCTCAGTTTTAGGATTTTTATATTGATTATTTAGCAGTTGGGGCCGGCGCCGTGACTCACTTGGTTAATCCTCCGTCTGCGGCGCCAGCATCCCATATGGGCGCCTGGGTTCTAGTCCCAGCTGCTCCTCTTCCAGTCCAGTTCTCTGCTGTGGCCCGGGAAGGCAGTGGAGGATGGCCCAGGTACTTGGGCCCCTGTACCTGCATGGGAGACCAGTACAACTCTGAGTTCCTTTGTTCTTTTTTATCTAGTTCCTTGAGATGTTGTAGTATGTTATTTAAAACATTTCTCTAATTTTTCATGTTGGTGGTGTTATAGATCCCTTAGCACAGCTTTTGCTGTATTCTTTAAGTTTTGGAATGCTGTATTTCTGTCTCATTCATATCAAGAATATATTTATTCTTTGATTCATTGGTAGCTCAAATGTTAGTTAATATGCATATATTCATAGAATCCAAAATGTTTGTTATTGATCTTGTTTTATGACTTATCATGTGTCCTGGAACATGTCCTGTGGAGTATCTTCAGTCCAGTCGTAAGATGCTGTTTTTCTTGTTAAACGTGAATTTTGAATTCAGTTTATTAATATTTGCTTTAATCATTTATTTGGGTGCTCCAATATTGATTGCATATATATTTACAGTGGTGATTTGCCCTTCTGGAATGATGCATTTAGGGCTGTGTTTTAACCTCTTCCCTCTTATAACATTTTATTCAAGTGTCTTGCTTAGCCATCACATGCAGCATGTTATCATTGTGAAGCATCTTCTTTAATGCTAGGCAATCAAGATTATAGTGTAACGACCCCTCATTTTTCTTATTTTATATCCATTTAAACATAGAAATATCTTATTTCCCAAGTTAAATAGAGTTTAACTGTTTTACCATTTCTGGTTTTAATAGTTCATTAATTTAACTATTTTTTCTATAGAAATTAAACCCCAGTGCAATCTAGATTTTCAGTTTTATCTTTTTGTAGAATATTGTATGAGTTCTGACGTATCCATCCTGACATTATCAAAATGGGTTCTTTGCCATAACAATCCTATTCTCTACCTATTTATTCATCTCTTCATTCCTTCTTCCTCCAGAATCCCTCATTTTATATGAACAGATTTAAGGTTGGAGGCTTCTCCACGTGTGTAGTGGCTTGATAGCTCATTTCTTATTACTAAATCATACTGTGTCACAGTTTATTTACTCATATAATGAAGGACAACTTAGCTGCCAACAACTTTTGTTAATTATGAATGTATCTGAACAGCTGTGTACAAGGTTTTGTATGGGTATGTTTTCAACTCATTTGGGCAAACATCACAGAGCATGACTGCTCAGTCTTTCAGTTTTGGTAAGAGGATATTTACTTCTATATGAAAGAGCCCAAGTGGCTTTAATGTTGGATGTATATTCCTATTGCTCCAGATTTTCACCAGCATTTTTTTTATTTGACAGAGAGAGAGAGAGAGAGAGAGAGAGAGAGAAAGGTCTTCCTTCTGTTGGTTCACTCCCCGAATGGCCGCCATGGCCAGCGCTGTGCCGATTCAAAGCCAGGAGCCAGGTGCTTCCTCCTGGTCTCCCATGCGGGTGCAGGGCCCAAGCACCTGGGCCATCCTCCACTGCCCTCCTGGGTCACAGCAGAAGCTGGACTGGAAGAAGAGCAGCTGGGACTAGAACCAGTGCCCATATGGGATGCTGGCACCACAGGCGGAGGATTAACCAAGTGAGCCACGGTGCCCGGCCCAGCATTTGATCTTGATGCCTCATTTTTAGAGTTCATTTTCTAATTCACTGAATTTAAATGAATGGTAAGAAATGAAATGATGTGAAATACTAGAAACCATTAGCTTCTAAGATTTCAACAGGAAAATTTAAAAATGCATTTATGTATGACTTCCAGAAGTAAAATATTTTTGCCTTGTGTATTGAAAATCAATCATTTCAAAACCTCAAACTTTCTATATCCACCTAATAATGTCTGATATAAAGCTTCCCATCTTTCTGCTAGTGTACCTGGGAATGCAGAAGATGGTCTAAGTACTTTGGTCCTACCACCCATATGGGAGAATGCAATTCCCAATTTCTGGCTTTCAGCCCTTACTGTTGGAGCCATTTGGTGGGTGAACCAGTGGATAGAAAACTTGTCTCTTTCTCTGTGCCTTTCAAATAAATTTTTAAATACCTAACCTACCAACCATCATAACTTAAATCATTCTACCTTAAATGTAGTTTACAATAAGGCAAAATCATCTAAGACAAAGCAGTTTTATTATAAAGTGTTGAACATCCTGTGTACATACATAGATAGGAATTTGTAGACATGATGGAAAGTAGAGACAATATCCGAAAAATGCTGACAATACGCTGTAGAGTATTGCTTGTTTACCCTCATGGTCATGTGGATGACTGGGAGCTGCAGTTCATTGTCATCTAGCATCTGAGAGTGTCAAACGGCATATAGAAATATTAGCTCTGGAAAAAAACAGTATCAAAGTAATTCACCCCTACAATTTTCTGCATGGAAACTGCAGGCCCTGTTGCTCCCTGTGGCTCTCAGCTGCTCTGTTCCCTGATGTTCTTTGCAGAGGAGATCATAGAGAGGATCTGTTGTTCCAGAACAACGAAGGACAAAGCTTGTTTCCAGGATATTGACTGAAGGTCAACTTCAGTGAAGAAATGACAGCAACTGCAAATAGTAGAGACACTTTAAGGCAGCAGAGAAAAAGGAACAAAGCCTGCCAAAGCACCTACCCAGGCTCCCTGGATAGGGGCAAGACATCTTGCCAGGGAAAAAGCAGAAAGTGTCATAACAACTGCCAGTGCCACAGACAAGGATTTGAAATGCAGTCTAGAAAGCAAGCACTCCAGAAAAGGAACACACATTATCTCCTTCCACCTCCAAAGCACCAGAACCGAGCTGCTGCCTTGCAACTGTTAAACTCCACTCTGGCTTACATGACAGCAAGCAGTCTTGTCACTACCAGAAGCTGCCAGAGGCCACAGTGAAGGCACTTTCTAGACCAAGGTCCCTGTCACATACCCCTCTTCCGGGAATAGGACTTTTGGTACTATACACACATCCACCACCAGGACCTGGGGAAAGTCCCATCCATAACACACAGTCCCTGAGCCAGAGCTATTGGTGGCACAAGCTCCAGCATCACTGTCTTACATGGCAGGACAAGGGGACAGCCCCTCTGTGTCCCACAGCATCAGGCATGTGGCTGCAGGTATCACAAACCCTAGTGTGATTGACAACAAATTCCCTGGAGACTAAAGACACACAACTTTGAAGTGAACGCGAGCTTCTAAAGTCATATTACAACCTCCACAAACTGCTGCAGACTAGGCAACTGTGGGTCTTACAGACAATCATAGAAGAAATCTCTTGGAGGTTTACTTATAGACTCATCTAGAACTAAAGGCAAAACAGCAACCCAAGTTATACCCTGCATTCCATGTAAACAAAAAGCCCTTGGGTATTTAGACTATTTCATAAGGAAATATTACATCAGATTTGCAGGGACACATGAAAATGTTAAGCCCGCAGTCCGTGGTCCCCCGAAAATCACACCACCAGAGACCAAAGTTGAAGCCAATTAGCAGGGTCGTTTTTATTACGAGTTTGAACCCGGGCCTCTCTGTGCCTCCAGGAGAGGAAGCCCCCGAGAAGCCCTGAGCCCAGTTCTTACAGAGCTTTTATTATCATGTACAAGCAGGCTTTAGGGGAATGCTATAGATCAAGTTGACACTTCTGATAAGTCCTGAGACACCTGTCGCCGACTCCAGGGTAGGGGCTGGTTATCTCAAGCTTTAAACCTCCCTTTTACAATCCTGGACCTGGGTCAGGGTAGGGTCACATCTGGCCAGGTGGAGGGAAGGGGGAGTGTACGATACGATAATCAACTTAATGTAGTTACTGGATTACTTAGCTCAAAGACACTTAGCATTGCTTATTATTACTACTAGTTGCCTAATAAGCTAATGTGATTACACTTTAGGTTACATTAAAATAATATTTTCTAGCACTATTATAATGGATAATAAGGGCATAGTAAAAGCTGGTTGTGCAGGTGTCTTCTCAAAACACATAGGGACACATGAAACATGAATAAGCAGGGAAGCATGACACCTCCAAAAGAACACAATGGTTTTCCAGAAATAGAACATGATGTGAAGGATATTTATTAAATATCTGAAAAAGACTTCAAAATAATGATTCTAAGGAAACTCAATGACATCCAGGAGCGTACAGATAGAAATTAATCAATGAAAAAAATTACAGTCACGTGCTTCAACAGAACAGACCAATAAAAGAAGACCTTTGGATCTGGAGGACAAGACATTTGAAATAACTATAACATATGGGATACCATTAAGTAAACAAATATTGCTAATATAGGGATATTGCTAATATAGGGATACCTGAAGGAGAAGACAAGGAAAAAAGCATTGAGAACCTACTGAATTGAAAAAAAAAGTTGAAAACTTCTCAAGCTTGAAAGAGATATGGATATCCAGATACAGGAAGCTTAAAGGACCCCAAACAGACTCAACCCCTAAAGACAGTGTTCAAGGCATAGGGTAGTCAAATTGTCAAAAGTTAAGGACAGGGGCTGCTGCTGTGGCGCAGTGGGTTAATCCTCCGCCTGCGGCACCAGCATCCCATATGGATGCCAGTTCCAGTCCTGGCTGCTCCTCCAATTCAGCTCTCTGCTATGCCCTGAGAAAGCAGTGGAAGATGGCCCAAGTCCTTGGGCCCCTGCACCTGTTTGGGAGACCAGAGAAAGCTCCTGGCTTCGGATCGGTGCAGCTCAGGCCATTGCAGCCATTTGGGGAGTGAACCAGCGGATGGAAGACCTTTCTGTCTCTCCTTTTCACTGTCTATGGCTCTGACTCTCAAAAAAAATTTTTTTTAAGATTTTAAGGACAAAGAGAATCCTAGAGAGTGTGAGAAAAAGGTCTAGTTACATATAAAGGAAAACCCATCAGACTAACAGAAGCCTTCTCAGCAGAAACCCTACAAGTCACAAGAAGATCTTGAAAGAAAAAAAGACTTCCAAAAAAGAATTTTATGACCAGCTAATCTATCCTTTAGAAGTAATGGAGAGGCCGGCGCCACGGCTCACTAGGCTAATCCTCCACCTGCGGCGCTGGCACTCAGGGTTCTAATCCCAGTTGGGGCGCCAGTTCTGTCCCGGTTGCCCTTCTTCCAGGCCAGCTTTCTGCTGTGGCCCGGGAAGGCAGTGGAGGATGGCCCAAGTGCTTCGGCCCTGCACCCACATGGGAGACCAGGAGGAAGCACCTGGCTTCCGATTGGCGCAGTGCACCAGCTGTAGCGGCCATTTGGGGGGGGGTGAACCAACAGAAGGAAGACCTTTCTCTCTCTCACTAACTCTGCTTGTCCAAAAAACAAAAAACAAACAAACAAAAAAAACCCAAAAAACCATAAGGCGATGGTGTCACAAATCCATCTATTCCTATTCCTAAGGATGGTTTCCCAGAAATGGATATTCCCCACACACAGCCTGAGGGGAACACAGCACTTTGCCAAGCACCCAACACAGTAAGCCCCAGTGCTACTGCTCACGTGGTTTTGAGCCTTCCTTGGTGTTTTTTCATCTGCAAAGGGAGGACGTCAGGGCCAGAGGCTAAGGCAGTTGACATTTCTGGGGCAAAAGTGCATCAAGTGTAATCTTTTTCAGTGTGGCTTCCAGGAGACATGAGGATAGGTGAATTTGGGGCACCCACCAAGCATTTCCACTATTACTTTGTCAGCATTGGACCAGCCTTGCTCATGGATTAGTCCTGGGTGTCCAAGCCTGCCTGACTCAGGAGGCTGTCGTGTTTGCTAACCAGGAGCCAAATACTGCAGGGCACATGACCACTTGATCCTTTCCCTTGGATCAAAAACAGGTCTGCAGGCAGGACCCTGCCTCAAGGGACTCAGGGTTATAAGAAACTCAGACTGATGCCCGAATGGCAAACCCCGTATCAAGCCAAGTCAAGCCAAGCCTAGGAAAGGCAGAAGGCAGAAGGCCAGCCTGTTGTAGGAGATGGAGAACTTCCAGATTACTGGAGACTAGAGCAAGACAGGGCAGCATCAGCTAGGTGCATTTCGCTTTCCTCTAGAGCACTGAGAGAAAGGCTGAGTCACAAGTCCAAGGGACAGCATTCCCCTCATGTTCTCACTTAAAAAGAGGGCAGTACCCCGGATGGAGATGTCTGGATGGATACGATTCTCCAGAGCAAGGACCCAGGTCTGTTTCGTGAATGCACTCACACTTGGAAACAATTTGGCAAAGCTCTGTTCCCTAGTTTCTGAGTGTAAGACTTGGTTCTTCCTTTGGGGAAACCTCTTCAATTTATACAAAGGAGTGGGCAAATATAAGTTCATGTCTCTCTATGTGCTATATGTGTGTAGGATATGTCCAGTGTTGTCTGCATTATACATGTGCAGCTGTCCAAGTGTTGCTCAGGACAAGGGAGCACCCTGAAATCGCCGCACTCACTGCCATGACCTGATGACAGATTAGAAAATGTAGGTTCAGAATGGGTCCGCTGACTCAACAAAGTCAATGGAATGTGAAGCGCTGTGCTCACAAAGAACACCTGGGAACATGTCAGTAATGAACCTCCCTACTGTGTGAAGTGAGGAGGAGCTGGCTACTGTGTGAACCCACACTCCAGTAGTGGAGAAAGAAAAGGGGTCCAGGCTGGGCCTTCAGAATTCCTACCTGACCCCTGCCAAGCTCTGACCAGGGAGCCACATCCCAGGCAGGAAGGAGTTGGGAAACACCATGACTCACCTCCACACTTGGTCTTTGGGAGTGTTGTGGTTTCCAAGGAAGGGTTGTGTCCTAGGAGAATGCACCTTGCTCCTGGCCTTGGCAGACATGCCTGATGGGTGATGCCATCTGGGAGAAATATGGGGGCAGGAGGAATACACAGAAACAGGACTGTGAGATGAAGGGGAACCAGAGCCACATGGCTGAGCTTCTGTAGGGCTTCTTGACCCTTTCTTGATTCCCAGCTCCATGGACAAGGAATGGGGACCCAGAGAACTTGTGGGAAATGGGAGCCATTTCATCCCCTTGTGCCCTTTGGCTCCTGGGACTCCTTAGAAAGGTGGCAAATGAAGGCAGTCTACAAAGGCGGCTGCCAAGCTCCTGCTATCCCCTCTCCATGCCCCCACACCGCTGGAATCCTGGACAGGGGTTCCTTTGTCCTCCTAGATGCCAATCGCACTCCTCCTCAGAGGAGGGGCAGGGGGCATTTGTAACAAAGATCCTCTCCATGGGAGTGGTGCAGCACAAATGCCTACTCGTCCTCAACTCCCCCTCCATCTTCCCAATCTTCTTCCTAGACCTTTTACTACTAAATGAAATAGAAACTAGTGTGGATCCTGGTAGAAACTTGCAAACTGGTGACTCCCAGCTGTCATGTGTGACCCTCCATTTGACAGGCCACCTTCCCTCCACGGTAGTACTGGGCATCCTTCATAGAATCAAAAGAAAGGGATCCATAACAAGTCACCCTAAGAATGTGAACACATCCACTGGCGCCGCGGCTCACTAGGCTAATCCTCCGCCTTGCGGCGCTGGCACACCGGGTTCTAGTCCCAGTCAGGGCGCCGGATTCTGTCCTGATTGCCCCTCTTCCAGGCCAGCTCTCTGCTGTGGCCCAGGAGTGCAGTGGAGGATGGCCCAAGTGCTTGGGCCCTGCATCCCATGGGAGACCAGGAGAAGCACCTGGCTCCTGGCTCCTGCCTTCGGATAGGCGCGGCCATTGGAGGGTGAACCAACAGCAAAAGGAAGACCTTTCTCTCTCTCACTGTCCACTCTGCCTGAAAAAAAAAAAAAAAGAAAAAAAAAAAGAGAATGTGAACACATCCAATGGGAGCTGCATCTTTGTTCCTGGAGGTCGGGGAGAGTAATAGAAATACCTAGAGTCTAAGCCCAGAGCCAAATACCAACCCACCAACCTCCCACCTGGGAATCCTCCAGTGTGGGCAGTGTGGGCCTCAGGCAGTCAGACACAAAGAGCAAGGCCCAGTACATACACCCAGCTCACAGGAACAGGGAGGGGGTTCTGAGTAAAGAAGCTGCCATCCCTTCACGATGGGGCCTGAGCCTCCACTTTGATCACAGGGATGCTCCCTGGTCTTCAGACAGCGAGGCCAGTGAGGAGTGGAGCCAGCACCACACTAAAGACACCTATGCTCCTAACATCTGCTCCTGGGCCAATGCTATGAGAACTCCCAGGAGAAGGTGAGCAGGGAAAAATACACAGATATAATTGCACCTTAATTAAGAGGAATCTGTCCATAGTGGTTTCTCCAAGATGGATATGGGAGAAACTGAAAGGGAAGGGCATAACATACATGTACATATACATGCACATAAACCATAAAAATGCTACTAATGGGGCCAGCGCTGTGGCATAGCATGTAAAGCCACTGGCCTAGAGTGTCAGCATCCCATATGGGCACCAGTTTGAGTACCAGCTGCTCTACTTCCAATCCAGTTCTCTCCTATGGGCTGGGAAAGCAGTGGAAGATGGCCCAAATGCTTGGGCCCCTGCGCCTGCGTGGGACATCCAGAAGTTCCTGGCTCCTGATCAGCCTAGCTCTGATGTTGAAGCCATTTGGGGAATGAGCCAGTGGATGGAAGACCTCTCTCTCTCTCTGCCTCTAATTCTGCCTTTCAAATAAATAAGTAAATCTTTAAAAAAAAAAAAAAGAATGCAACAAATGTGTGTATATGTGTGTGTGTGTGTGTGTGAATGCGTGAAGGTGTAGGGCTCAGTGGAGTGCACAGCCACATTTTCATGGAGAGCATCTCAGAAGTAGTAGCAAAACTATAGGCCATTGCCAAGGTCAACTGCATGGGGATCCACAAGGTGATCCTCCTGACCCCTGGTGGCAACCTGGGGCATCAAGGAACACTCAGTAGGATGGGACTACCTTAGATCCCTGGAGTTGACCCTGGGCATCATCCGCCCTATTCTCACCTGACTGAGCTCCTGTCAATTCCTCTTCTCCACACAGTGTCAAAATCCCACAGGGCCTGCCCCTGGACCCTTCATCTGGATAAGGTACCTGTCTGCTGGGCTCTCTCTGGGTTGGGCAAGAGAGAGGAAATCCCGATACTAATCCAACCTGAAGCTATGAGTCTATGTCCCCAATGAAAGCAACCATTCTACCGAAGGCATGACCCGACTGGTTCTATATAAACTCCAGAAATGGGCCCAGAATAGAACCAGGTGGTCAACATGAGACTGGGGCCCAGACCCATAGGGAGATGACATATCAAGACACCCAGCTCTAACCATTCCTTTGCTGCTCTGCCACTTCACAGTCCCTATACAGAGCTGGACAGGAAGAAAAAGGCCTCTTCACCATGCCACACACAGATACCTGCTTCTAAGGCCTGCTGATTTGGGAGCCAGTTTAAATGTTTTTTCATCCGCAAAGGGCAGAGGGAGAGGCAGATGAGCCAGGCTAGTTGCCTTTTCTACAGCAACAATGCCACCAAGCGGAAGTGCTTTCAACATTGTCTCCATCCCGCTGTGAGTCTGGGGTGCTGAGGGAGTCTGACAGGTAGCTCAGCCACCCAAGCAAGTAGCCCAACAGAGGATGAGAAAACCACGCAGCAACTGACATTAACTAAAGAACCCTGGGCATCCAAGTCTGCTAGGGTAAGGTCTCAGTGGAGCCTCATGCTCGGTGGCTGCCACGTTTGCCATGTTTTGAAACCAGGAAACAAAGTGCAGGGCATCTGGCCTTTTGGTACATGGCAATGAAGAAGTTCCTGATAATTTCTGGGTAAGTGAAGATCAATTAGAATTATACAGCCATTTCAATTCATTTCATGGACTTTACTCCCTCACTCAGAGGGGGAGTCTGCATCTCAGGACGTGTGGTACCTTCCTGTCATTGCATTTTCTGGCCCCTCCCACCCTAGCAGGTATCCTTATATCCTCAGTGACCTATAGTGGGCATGTGTCTCACTGCTTCTGTGTACATGCACAGAATGCACTTGGGCGTTGGAGGGACAGGGTAGGCAGGCTGAAAATATCAGTACTGGGCTGGACACGAAGGAAGTGGCCCGATTCTACCTGTGCCAACTTGAGGTTTTGTATGGCTAGGTCCTCATGGTCTCTACATGGGATTTTGTGATCTAGGACAACATGAAGCTTTCAGAACTTGGCCAACAAAAGTTTGTTCTCACGGCCATACAAGGGGAACAAAAAACAGGCAAAATGGCCAAGTTCCTATCTGGAACTGAGCCAACACAGAAGCTTCTACAACTCCTGCCCAGACACAACTGCCCCCAGGCTCCCGAGCTCTGGATTGCTAGACCACAACCACCAGGTACCCTGCCCGTGTCCAAGGCCTCCACGGCCCACACAATCTGGGGCCAAGCTGGCCCGGACCTCCAAGGACTCTGAGCCCACCCTCACTCTCCTGTCAAGACAGTCCTGCACAGGTGCGCAGCCGCCAAGGCTGGCGGGATCCACAAACCACTTTCTCTTAAAGGCAGTACTGCATGTCAAATGCCACCTGCCTGCCCCCGCGGGTCCTCCCTCCACCTTTCATGCAGCAAAAAATGCCCAGCGCTGTCCAGGCTCTGAAGGGAGCAGGAGGAACTATTGCACAGCCCTGGGTGCAGCACCATCCCCATGCCCACACAGCCTGGCCTCAGCACCCTAGATAGCCACTCAGGCTCCAGAGCCAGGGCTTCATGTCTCAAACAGGCACCCTGGCAGCCTGCCTCATTGCTGCCTATTTCTCAGACACCCATGGCTCAGAGCAACTGTATCCCAAGCTTCCCCCAGGCCTCCAGCAGGCTCTTCTGGCTCCCAGGCCACAGTACTACCCACACCCTGAGTTCCCTGCCAAGCCAGTCGTCCCTAGGACAGCAGATGGGAGGAGCTGGCAGGACTCATAAGCAAGTTCCTCTTTCTGGCACTATTTCACCAGAAGCACCACCCTGCCCTGCCCCTATGTATATGCACTCTGCCTTTAGCATAGGAAAAAATCATTGAATGGTTATACCACGGACAGTGCAGCTTCAGGGGCCCTGGGCCCATGTGGCCCAACTGGCCTCTTTGTTCCTAAGAGAAAGGACAAGCCATGCTTGTCGCTTGACTTGCTGACTGCTGAAACCCAGGGCAACCTGTTGCTTTGTCCTGGCTTTGACTTTGACTCTTGCTGGCAGCACTGCAAGATGAATGCCAACAAGCCTTCCTGGCCCCTCATTTTTCCAAAGATTCTTCTGTCTGAAACATGCAATCTGGTGGCCCAAGTGCTCACATTTGACTGCCCAACTTCAAGGCCTCTCCCCTGTAGAGTGGTGTTAGGCATCCTCCATGATATCTGTAGATGTGCCTATCCAGGTAGACCACCTAAGAATCCATAAGCAGCTGACCATGGCAGAATCCTTAACACATAAGGTGCGGGAGACAGCAGGTGATGCCTTGGATCTGTGCACAGGACCACAGTCACGTTCACCCACGAACCACTTGGGAACGTTCTGATTTGGGCAACCTCCTGGGCTTCTGAAAATGCAGCCTGACCACAGAACATCAGGCAGTCAGACACAAAGGGTGGAGGCACAGGGTCAAAGAGTGAGGAGACCACAAGGTCTCGGCACTGGGTTCCCCTCACAGACCATGCTCTCGGATCAGACAACAGGAATCATCTACTTACACTACTCAGAAGTCAAGATAGGGGCCACAAGCCACCTCAAGCCAGCACCCTTTTCTAGGTCTGTCAAAGCAGAGACTGAGAGGCATGGCGCGATTGAATTTAGCATGATGGAGTGAAAGAGCAGCTTTATACTTCCATCTGGACACCCTCTATACCAGAAATAGTGTGTTCACAGATCTGAAATGGTCTCCTGGAGGGCCTCAGGGCACTGATCTGGCCCCAGGAGTGATGTGATCACAGCAGGCAAAGGCACAAGTAGGCAGGGACCCACACTCACAAAGAGAAAGGCAAAGGCCTGAAAACTCTGCAATTGCCCCGGCTCTCCAACAGACAGTCTTGCCCATGTGGGACCTGCTTCACTTTTCTCTCGGGGCAGATGGCCTCACAGGGAACCTAGCCTAATCCCTTCTCACTTTCTCCTGCACCCTGGCATCTGAACTCCCATTCCACAGACTTGTGCCCATCCCCTTAGTGAACTCACACTGCTGTGATAATCAATCCCCTGTCTCCTTCTTGGACTCCCACCTTGATCGGGAGCCCCTTCTACCAGGTGAACAGCACTGCCCCTTGTCAGGATTCCCACCTACCTCAGCACTGTCTCCTTCCTGAGGGCTGCTGACACCGCAGGACCTCTGCTGCTGTCACGGCATGAAGAGACTCTTCCTGAAAAGCAGGAGAGACAACACTCATCACTCACCCACACCCAGCACCCACAGTACCTGGGACTGGCTGTGCTTCCCTGTCTCTCTGACTGCAATATAACAGCAGATGTTCCTTAAACCATGAGGACCTGGGAAAGGGTGAGCAGTCCTCCCAGCCACCCAAGGGAAGGCCTCACTCTCCACCATCAAGTCTTTGGGTCACTAGGAATTCTGAAGAATGTGCAGCCTGGAACATCAACATACTCAGTTTTGGGAACTGTACGAGGCTAAGTGGGGGCTGGCAAAAGAGGTTTCTCTCTTGTTGAGATTCCCTGTAAAGGCAGAGGACAGGGCCAGTGCTGTGGTGTAGTTGGCTAAGCCTCTGCCTGTGGGCACCAGCATCCCATATGGGCGCTAGTTTGAGTCCCAGCAGCTCCTCTTCTGATCCAGCTCTCTGCTGATGGCCTGGGAAAGCAGTGGAAGATGGCCCAAGTCCTTGGGCCACTGTACACACGTGGGAGACCTGGAAGAAGCTCCTGGCTCGAGCTCCGGCCACTGTGGCCATTTGGGAAATGAACCAGTGGATGGAAGATATTTCTCTTTCTCTCCCTCTGTCTGTAACTCTAGCTTTCAAATAAATAAATATAAGAAAAACCCCCACTAGATCAATATATTAAAAAAAAAAAAGACGACTTCCCCTGCCACATCTTTTCAGTGGAACTCGTGAGTATGCCTCCCCGTGCCATCTGTCCCTGCAGAGTGTCCCTCCTCGTCCGTGTTCTCAGTGAGGCCACAGGAACACGTATCGGAAAAATCACTGCAGTATTCGTGAATGGAACCCCAGACCCCTACTGAGTTAGCAGCTCCTCTGCTTGCACACTGATCTTGGGAAGGCAGGATCTCCACTCCGGCTGCACACAGACCTGTCCCTGTCCTCTATAGGGATAAGAGCAGTCCTGGGAGGATGAGGCCATGTCTCAGTCCCCAGCTGCTTACCTCTGACATAGATTCTAATACAATGTAGCCATAACACACTACCATGGTTCTGTTTGCTTTCTTTAGCACTGTTACTTGAATGATGAAAACCAGGAAAATTACACCTGGTTGTCACTGGATGGAAGGTCCATAGGATGTGCAGAAGGTAGGACAAGATGGGAGATATCAGTGTGTAATGTTAAGAGCTACCATTTTCAAAGGAAGGAATCTCTATGCACTGTACTATCTCCAAGATGGCTACAGGAGAAAGACAAAGGAAAATACACATATGTATATATAACTGTGTACATATACATGTATGAATGAATGAATCAATGAGTCAAAGAATGAGGGGCTGGATAACTAGAGAGCAAAAGCACTTTCATGTACAGATTATTCAAATGGCTGTTGATCCACCTGCCCTCAGGGAGGCCAAGTGCACTGTAAACACCGACTGGGCCCTCGGCCTGACTCATGGATACACTACTGGAGCACTCCATAGGGAGTGACTTTACACCCAAGGAGGTGAGCCAGGGCATCATCCTCCATATGCGCACACCAGACATGGCCCCAGTCCATTCCTGCTGCCCCTACCATCGCCTGTTCCCTCCTAGGATTGCTGCTGTGCTGGTACCCGGGGTGAGATGTGGGCTGGATCATACTCTGCTCTATGAGGACTGAGGAGAGGCAATGGTGCACAACTAAGAGGGGAAATCATGGCCATCTTCCCATCTGCTGGGATGAGCAATGCCTCCACAAAAGCAGCAATGTATCCAGTGGAATCCACCAAGTGTCCACAGTATGCTCAGAACAGTGGGAAGCAGTGAACATGACATTTGCACATGGCATCCTGTGCTCATGTAATGACACATTCACAGGCACATCAATTCCTCTGGATGCTTTCCCAAGAGACCTGTATCTCCCTAGGAGAGCTAGAGAGGAAGGGGCAGCACTTCCCCCATAACCCCAACACAGCAAACCACCCTACTAGGGACTGGTTGGCATTGAGGCCTTCCCTGGCTTCCATCTGCAAAGGGTAGAGGCCAAGGACAACGATGCCAGGGCAGCTGGCAGTTTTGGAAAAATAGTGAAAACAATTAAGTTTTTTCTTCAGGTGTTTAGTCCTATAAAAACCGTCCAATTTGAGGAAGAAACTCCATGGACCTCTGGAAATGGGGAGCCCTTTCCTTGGAACCTTTGCTATTGGGTTCCTGTATTTGGAGGAAACCATTATTTTTTTCAGCCACAAAAGGCGGAGGGAGAACTGGGGAAGACGAGGTGGTTCCATTTCTGGAGCAGCAGCGCCATCCAGCGGAAGCCGTTTCAGAATAGCATCCACTCCATCCATCCCATTCCATGAGGAAGGCTCCAGAAATGAGGAAGACTGGGATCCAGGCTCACACGCAGGCATCACTAGAGTTCCTGGGGAACACGAGAGAGCTGGGCTCCCTCACAAAGGGATCCTGAGAGGCCCTGTCTGCCAGGCTACAGAAGTCATGTGGGACAGTCCTCAGGGGCCGCCATGGTGCACAGCCTGCAGCTGAAGCATCTCAGGGCACTGTGTCTCTGCACAGGAGGGGAGGCAGCACTTCCTGACTCTCCCCACCAGGTCACAGCAGGGAGCCCGAGCAGCTCTGCTCCCCTGCACTGGGTGAGCTTTACTCTCCCTGCCCCCCACACCCTGCAGGTCTCAGGGGCACAGCAGATTCCTGCTCGCTGACGTCACAGCTCCCTCAGCACAGGCGACACCTGACTGGCACTGAGGAGGAGCCCGCACACCTGTCACACTGATGACCGCCGTTCCCGGCTGGCCTGCATCTGTGCTCCTGCGGGGACGGGGTCCTCCTGGGATGGCCGCCATGCTGATCAGGTCACCTGTGAGGGGACAGAGGTAGGAAAATGCTGCAGGCCCTATTGGTGCTCATACAACCCCCATTCCCTCCGCAAGTCCTTGTGTTCCTCCACCAGGCAGTTCCTGGGACAATGGGAGCCTTCCAGACAACTCAGAGTAGAAAGTAGGAACCCTAATTCACTCCTAAGATAAGGGGAGGGAGAAAAATGCCTGCAGCACCCGCTCAGGACAAAATGGCTCAGGCTTCCTAAAGCCCCGCCCAGACATGGCCACCACCAAGCTCCGGAGCTCATCCCTACTAGACCACAGCTGCCAGGAGTCCTAAACTCAGCCCCCTGGTACTGACTCTGTCCGGGACCTCCAGAGTCCACTGGATGCGGAGAACCAAGATGGCCCGGGGCTCCAAGGCCTCTGAGCTCTACAGAGACACAGCCCGGGACCTGCCTGCACCCTAACTTCACAGCAAAGTCAGTCCCGCGCAGGCGCACAGCCAACAACTTAGCAGGATCTGCAAGTGAATTCCTCTTGATGGCAGTATTGCACCACAAATGGCATCTGCCCCGTACCCGAAGGTCCTCCCTCCTCCCTTTGTGCAGGAAAAAAGACCCAGCACTGACCAGTTGTTGCCCAGTGTGGCCTCAATTTAGCAGAATGCCTCCAACTGCTTCTGAGGGGAGCAGGAAAAGCTAGGGCAATGCACTGCCAGGAGGCCCAGGGCAGCCAGATAATCTGAATCAGTCCCTGACAAGTCATATATTCAGGATGTCTCATCCAGACAGACTTAAAGGGTCTGTACCCAGAGGTACTGGGAAGGAAGAGAGGGAAGGGTCACAGCCATCCCAGGACCACAGGCCTCAGTACCTCTCTACACCCATAGGGCTCTCCCCTGCTCTGTGGACAATGAGAGTCCCACACTAAGGCCACTCAGGAGGGGAGATGGGGCCACACCAAACACACTGACTCTCCTTGCACATGACCCAAGGTCAATGCTGGAGAACTCCTTATATTGGCAGAAGGAAACACATATTGGTGCTGACTCAGGAATTAGGAGGAATCTCTATCCACAGTGCATCATTCAGACAAATGACAGGATGGAACAGGAAGGGGGATAAGTATGTATACATAGATTTGATTAAGCTAGGTGTGAGAAGTATCTTCATAGGCCAGTGAGAATGAATGAGTGGAGGAGTAGTTGTTGAATGGGGGCACAGCCACAGTTGCATGTGGAGCTACCTGGGTGCTAAATCCAACTCACGAGTTCTGGACAGGGTCACCTCCATGTTAGAATCTACTCTGCACTCAATGGGAGACACAGGCTGGGACTCTCCATAGGGTGCGATGACCTTGGACCCAGGGTATCAACCTTCCTGTTCTCCCCTCTGATGTAGGCCCTGTCACTTCCTGCTGCCCTCACAATGCCCTGCTTCTTACCTAGGCCAGCTGCTGTTTCTTTGAGCGGGAAGAGATGCCAGTTTGAGAAGTCTGCACTGTCCTCTCTCTGGGATGGGCTGCAAAAGGACAAAAGAGAAGAAATATTGAGAGGACACACCCAGGAATTCATCCTTATGAGGTTAGGAATCAATAGACGCAGGAAAGCAACAACATGGCCGCTGAAAACAACAGAGTACCAGACCTTTATAAATAAGTTCATGTGTAGCTAGACAGGTAGGAGCGGTTAGGGCTTATAATGCAAAAAGTTATGCTATCTGAAGGGACCTGTAGACATCCTTACTCCTTTTGTTGTTTTCTACACAGTAAGATTCCACAAGGGGAGCAAAGAGAGGGGGGAATCAGTTTCCTCAGGGACCCCAAGACAGCTGACACTGTTAGGAAGGCCTCGTGCATTTGGGGCTTTACACTGGTGACTTCATCCACAAAGGGTGGAGGGAGAGGAGGAGGATGGGGCAGGTGGCAATTGTGGAGCAACACTGCCATTAGATGTATGGGGCTGGCGCTGTGGCGTAGCGGGTAAAGCTACCTACCACCTGCAGTGCTGAAATCCCATATGGGCGCCGGTTTTAGTCTTAGCTACACCACTTCTGATCCAGCTCTCTGCTATGGCCTGGGATAGCAGTGGAAGATGGCCCAAGTCCTTGGACCCCTGCCCCCATGTGGGAGACCTGGAAGAAGCTCCTGGCTCCCCACTTCAGATCAGTGCAGCTCTGGCTGTTGTGGTCAATTGGGGAGTGAACAGATGGAAGACCTCTCTCTCTCTCTCTGCCTCTCCTCTCTTTGCACAACTCTTTCAAATAAATAAATAAATCTTAAAAAAAAAAAAAAAAGTGTGCCACCCTTCTTCACTCCTAAGACAAGGGGAGGGAGGAAAATGCCCATAGCTCTTGCTCTTGACAAAATGGCTCAGGCTTCCTAAGCCCCGCCCAGACATGGCCGCCCCTAGGTTCCAGAGCTCTTCTTGGCTAGACTGCCCGTGCCATGAGTCCTGAAGCTTGGCCCCCTGTAATTGCCTGTGTCCAGGGTCTCCAGAGCACACTGGATGCAGGAAACCAAGCGGTCCCAGGCCTCCAAGGGCTCTGAGCCTCAGGACCTGCCTGCACCCTCACTTCCCTGCCACGTCAGTCCCACGCAGGCGCACAGCGAGCAAGCTAGCGGGATCTGCAAATGAATTCCTCTCGGTGGCAGTATTGCACCACAAATGCCATTACCCTGTACTCCCGGGACCTCCCTCCTCCCTTCGTGAAGGAAAAAAACACCCAGCAGTGTCCAGTAGGTGCCCAGCAATGCTGCTATGCAGCAGGGCAGATCCACCTGCCTCAGGGAACAGGAAGAGCTAGGGCAATGCACTGGGTGCTGGACCAATCCGGTGCCCATGAAGCTTGCTCTCAGGCACCAGCGGTGATGGATGCTCCTCAGGGCACCCCCAGTGGGGGTAAGGCATGTGCATCTAGCCAGGCCACCCCAACTGCACCACATATAGCTTCAGCACTCAGGAATCCAGGAAAAGGCCCCAGGGGCTCTGACCCAAGCTCAGCATGTCAGCAGTCAGATTCACATATTGTCACTGAGCCCTGTGAAGCCAGCATGACCCAGAGGTCCTGGGCAGCCAATTAATCTGAATGAGTCACTGACAAGTCATATTCATAGGATGTCTCATCCAGGCAGACTTAAAGGGTCTGTAGCCAGAGGTACTGGGAAAGAAGAGAGGGAAGGGTTGTAGCCATCCCAGGACCACAGGCCTCAGTACCTCTCTGCTCTCACAGGGCTCTCCTCTGGTCTGTAGACAATGAGGGTCCCACACTCAGGACACTCAGGAGGGGTGATGGGGGCCACACCAAATACACCGACTCTCTATGCACCTGACCCAGGGTCACTGCTGGAGAATTCGCAGATTTGGCAAAAGGAAACATATTCCTGCTCACTCATGAATTAGGAGGAATCTCTATCCACAGTGCATCATTCAGACAATTGAGGGGATGCAACAGGAAGGGGAATAAGTATGCATACACAGACCTGATTCAGGTGGGTGTGAGAAGTATCTTTACAGGCAAGTGAGAATGAATGAGTGGAGGAGTGGTTGTTGAATGGGGGCACAGGCACAGTTGCACGTGGAGCTACCTGGATGGTATAGCAAGCCCACGGGTCCTGACAGGGGCACCTTCCTGTTAGAATCCATTCTGCACTCCTCCATACCATGCAGACACAACTTGGTCCTAGTTCTTACAGGGGCAAAACAACCATGGGTCAACGTCCCATAATCCATGTGGAAAGGTACCAGCCTGCCAAACCTGTCCTTGGCCCTGCCTGGACCCTGTATTGCTTCCATTCCCACACATGGCCAGGTTGCTATTAGAGGAATACCAATTTGAGGACTGATAAACAAGACTGTGGAGATGGAACAAATGCATGAAAACACCAAAAAGCCTTCTCCAGTACCACACACGCATTTTATTACTCCTTTGCCATATTCTATTAAACCAAAAACCAACATGTGCCCACTTAGATGTAATCTGAAACCTGGTGCCCCAGCTCTCACAATTGGCTCTCCATGCTGAAAGGCCTCTCCATGTAGGGAGGTCCTAGTCCCAAGGCCTACAATCCAAAGAAATTATCTCCATGAAGCCATCTTAAGAATGTACACTTGCAAACACAGCTGATATCATTACCACTGGACAAGGAAGAGAGCACAGGAAATAGCACAATTCGCAGCACAGGTGGGCCCAGACCACCTACCTCCCCTCTGGGAACTCTAACCTGGGCATTCTCCTAGTTGCTGGGAGGTCAGCCTGAATACCAGGTCTCCAATGGTCAGACACAAAGATGGCAAGTGCAGTACCACCACCTCAAAGACACTGGGAGAGAGGGAAGATTAAGGTTCCTGGATCCTAAGACAGCAGGACCTGAGCACCTGGCTCCTTTCCAGGGCTGCTTCCTGCTCTTCAGATAAAAAGGATCCCATAGATCACGTATTCAGGAGATGACCCAGGTGCTACAACCAAGACACACACCTACCCTCCTGGTAGCTGACTCAGGTCCCCAGTTGTTGTCCATAACCTATCAGTGAGCTGACAGGGAAAATACATAGACATGATATCCAGGATGGAATCTATCTCCAATGAAGAAAAATCAAAGAAAATCAAAGAAAATCAAAGGAGTAGGGCAAAGCAAACAGATCAATTCGAAGAGAGTACTAAGTAAGTATGCTAGAACGTGCGACTGTGTGCCTGCTTAAATGAATGCATGAACATCCGAGTGAGTAAAAGCTTATGTGGGGGCTGAGTGGAGACAACAACCAGATGGCACACCCAGCCTCCTGGAAGGAGCTGCAGAAACACTGCCCCAGTTCAAGGTCAGCTGTGGGCTGAGCCAGGGCTCCTCCACCTGACCCACGGGTGACGACCTGGGGAACTCGGGGTGAGGCAACTACCTCAGATCCCTGGAGGGACCCAAGGCAAGACCTGGACTGAGCATAGGGAGGAATTGTTATCAGTGCCTGGCATCCCGAAAATGTCTTACACCCTCTAGGGCTGGTCCCAAGTCCTTAACAATTTCTAAGACTCTGGCTAGAGAAATTGCCTCTGGGTTTCTGAGGGCTGGGTACACGAGTATAGAAGAGAGAAACGATGCAAAAATAAGAAAGTTGGGAAGTTCTTGTCTCAGACGACTGGACAAAACGCAGGATGCGACTGAAGAAGACAAAATACACTGAGGCGGGTTTAATTACCAAATTTTGCACAGAAAAGTGGGGGAGTAGCTACTATAAGCAAAACAAATATATGAAGGATATATCTACAGATACACGGATTCAGTTTATGTCCCCCCACTGATATTTACCTGCTCAAGAGAGAGCATCCATTAAAGGACAGCATTGCCCAGCTACCCTCCACACTGGAAACCTATATTCTTGGGTTCCTGTATGTGGAGGACACCATTTTTTTCAGCCTCAAAAGGCGGAGGGAGAGAAGGGGAAGCCGGGATGGTGCAATTTCTGGAGCAGCAGCGCCATCCAGCGGAAGCTGTTTCAGAATAGTGTCTACTCCATCCATCCCACTCCATGAGGAAGGCTCCAAAAATGAGAAAGAGTAGAATCTGGGCTAACACGGAGGCATCATCAAAGTTCCTGTGGAAAGTGAGAGAGCTGGGCTCTCCCACCCAGGGATCCTGAGAGGCCCGGACTGCAAGGCTGCAGAGGTCCTGGGGGCCGGTGCTCAGGGGCCGCCATGGTGCACAGCCTACAGCTGAAGCATCTCAGGGCACTGTGTCTCTGCACAGGAGGGGAGGCAGCACTTCCTGACTCTCCCCACCAGGGCACAGCAGGGAGCCTGAGCAGCTCTGCTCCCCTGCACTGGGTGAGCTTTACTCTCCCTGCCCCCCACACCCTGCAGGTCTCAGGGGCACAGCAGATTCCTGCTCGCTGACGTCACAGCTCCCTCAGCACAGGCAACACCTGTCTGGCACTGAGGAGGAGCCCGCACACCTGTCACACTGATGAGCGCCGTTCCCAGCTGGCCTGCATCTGTGCTCCTGCGGGGACGGGGTCCTCCTGGGATGGCCGCCATGCTGATCAGGTCACCTGTGAGGGGACAGAGGTAGGAAAATGCTCCAGTCCCTACTGGGGCTCATGTAACCCCCTTTACTCAACAAGCCCTTGTGTTCCTCCACCAGGCAGTTCCTGGGCCACTGGGAGTCTCCCAGACAATTCAGAATACAAAGTGTGCCACCCTACTTCACGCCTAAGACAAGAGGAGGGACCAAAATGCCCACAGCTCCTGCTCTGACAAAATGGCTGAGGCTTCCACAAGCTCTGCCCCGACATGGCTGCCACCAGGCTGCGGACTCTTCCAGGCTAGGACACAGAGGCTACAAGTCCCAGAGCTTAGCCCCTGCCAATATCTGTGTCCAGAGCCTCCAGGGTCCATTCATTGCAGGAAACCGAGCTGCCGCGAGGCTCCATGGGCTTTGAGCCCCCTCGCGGAAATGTCCTCAGCACCCGCCTGCACCCTCACGTCCCTGGGAAGCCAGTTCTGCGCAGGCGCACAGCCGCAAACCTAGCGGGATCCGCAAATGAATTCCTCTTGATGGCAGTATTGTACCACAAATGCCATCTGCCCTGTACCCGCAGGTCCTACCTCCTCCCTTCGTGAACGAAAAAAACGGCACAGTCCAGTGGGTGCCCAGCAAGGCTGCAATCCACATGGGCTACTCTGCCTGGGTCTGAGGGGAGCACCAGGAGCTAAGGCAATGCACTGGGTGCTGTCAAATCCTGTGGCTCCCAAAAAACCTAGCTTCCTACCTAGGCCTGTTCCTATGTCCTTGAGCAGGATGAGACGCTGGTTTGGGAAGTCTGCTGTCATCTCTCTGGATGGCAGCATACGGCCTAAAGAGAGGAAATCCTGAGAGAAGATCCTTGAACTCATCCTTCATCAAGTTCGGACTCAAGAGCCCCAGGAAAGCAACAACTCTGCCTCTGCAAACTACATCTTACCAGAACTTTATAGGTAGGGAGTGATTAACTTGACTTGTGTGAAGAGACTTGTAGACATATTTCTTCCTTTTGTGGTATTATACACATTAAAATTCCCCAAGGGGAGCAGAGAGGGGAAATCATTCCGCAGGACCCAAATAGAGCTAACACTGTTGGGAGGCCAAGGGCTTTGGGAGCTTTACTCATGGAATCCGCAAGCTGGGGAGCGCTTCCTTAGACCCTGACATCATTGTGATCTCACCATGGCCTGGTAGCTGCCCCACAATATGTACCTTGGGATAGGCAAACAAGGCCATCCTGATGGCAGCCATGTATGACAAATGCCAACCTGACTTGTCCAGCGCCCCACAGGCCATATCCTCTTCCTCTGCCATTTTCTACTAAAGCGAGATGATCTATGTCTGTGCATGGTGCAATGTGACATTTGCTGCAGCCAGCACTGACATGGGACCCTCTGTCATGTGGGGCCTCCTCCAGGTAGGCAGGTCACAGGCTTCTGTCAGAAGATCAAATGACTCCTCTCTCAAATCACCCTAAGAATGTATCGCAACACCTGCAAACACGGCTGTTCACCGATGGACACGGATGAGACCACAGAGATCTCATGCACAGAGATGTACATGAGACCACCTCAGTCTATGTTATTCTCACCAGGATACAAGAATCATAGTGAGGATGACAGGGTGCTGAGAGCGCTGTACAAGGTCCACAACTTTGCAGAGAAAACAAGGGAGTCTTCAGAAGACAGCATTTGGCACAGCAGACTGAGCCGCCACTTACAACACAGGTGTCCTATATGGAACCTGGACAGAGTCCCAGCTGCTCTACTTGTGATCCAGTTCCCTAAGAATGTGCCTAAGAAAGCAGAAATAGATGGTTCAAGTCTCTGGCCCACTTCAGCCATGAGGAAGACCCAAGTGGAGTTCCAGGCAACTGGCTTCTATCTGGAAACCTGGCCATTTGGAGAGTGAACCAACAGGGGGAAGATCTCTCTTTTGTTCATTCTCTCTGGTAACTCTGCCTTTCAAATAAAGTGATTAGGATGATATTCCAATGAAAATAAGTACTGAGGTGATAGATCCACAGATGCATGTATTTTGTTCCAGTGCTTCTCAGGAAAATTTCTATGCTCCAGTGATAGATGTCAAATAAAGGCCACCATGTACTGAGGGACCTCCACACAGTAAACCTTAGTTCTTGGGGTTCTATGTTTGGAGCATGCAAAGAATTTTTTCAGCTACAAAGAGCAGATGTAGAGGAGGGAAAAAAGGGGGGGTTACAATCCTGGAGCAACAGTATCACCCAGCGGAAGAAGTTCCAGAATGCCCCGCAGTCCACCCACATCACAAGCGCAAAGCTTCGGAAATGAGGAAGAGTACGTTCCGTCCCTGGTTGGAGAGCAGGTACACCAACAGATGTTGAGAAGAGAGTGAGCTGGGCTCCTCCACCAAGGAATCAGAAGAGGCCAGGCTGCAAGGCTGCTGTGGTGCTGGGGGCCAGTGCTCAGGGGCCGCCATGGTGCACAGCCTGCAGCTGAAGCATCTCAGGGCACTGTGTCTCTGCACAGGAGGGGAGGCAGCACTTCCTGACTCTCCCCACCAGGGCACAGCAGGGAGCCTGAGCAGCTCTGCTCCCCTGCACTGGGTGAGCTTTACTCTCCCTGCCCCCCACACCCTGCAGGTCTCAGGGCACAGCAGATTCCTGCTCGCTGAGGTCACAGCTCCCTCAGCACAGGCAACACCTGACTGGCACTGAGGAGGAGCCCGCACACCTGTCACACTGATGAGCGCCGTTCCCCGCTGGCCTGCATCTGTGCTCCTGCGGGGGCTGGGTCCTCCCGGGATGGCCGCCATGCTGATCAGGTCACCTGTGAGGGGACAGAGGTAGGAAAATGCTCCAGTCCCTACTGGGGCTCATGTAACCCCCTTTACTCAACAAGCCCCTGTGTTCCTCCATCAGGCAGTTCCAGGGCAACTTGGAGTCTCCCAGACAATTCAGAATACAAAGTGTGCCACCAACTTCACTCCTAAGACAAGGGGAGGGACGAAAATGCCCTCATATCCTGCTCTGACAAAATGGCTGAGGCTTCTACAAGCCCCGCCCAGACATGGCGGCCACCAGGCTCCAGACTCTTCCAGGCTAGGACACGGGCCACAAGTCCCGGAGCTCAGCCCCTGCTACTGCCTGGGTCCAGAGCCTCCAGAGCCCACTCCTCTCAGGAAACCGAGCTGCCCTGGGACTCCAAGGGCTTTGAGTACCCCCGCGGAAATGGCCTCAGCACCCGCCTGCACCCTCATGTCCCTGGGAAGCCAGTTCTGCGCAGGCGCTCAGCCGCCAGCCTGGCAGTTTCCGCAACTGAATTCCTCTTGATGGCAGTATTGCACCACAAATGCCATCTGCCCTGTACCCGCGGGTCCTCCCTCCTCCCTTCGTGAGGGAAAAAATGGCGCTGTCCAGTGGGTGCCCAGCATGGCTGCAATCCACATGGGCTACTCTGCCTGGGTCTGAGGGGAGCACCAGGAGCTAAGGGCAATGCACTGGGGCTGAACCCATCCGGTGCCCTGGCAGCCTGGCCTCATCAAGAAATTCCTGGGCTGCCCTGGAGACCAACAGTCAATGGGCACTCCTTAGGGCAACACCAGCGGGGACAGGCACAACGCCTAGCCAGGCTACACTGTCAGCACCACAAATGGCTTCAGCCCTCTGGAATGAAGGCATAGGACCAGGGGCTCTGACCCAATTCTATCCAACAACAGTGGGACTCAGACACTGTCACACAGCCCTGCCACGTCTGCTTGCCCAGGCGGTCCAGGACAGGCAGATACACTGACCCAGTCACTGATGAGTCATTTTGACATGAAGTCTCCTCCAGGCAGACCTAAAGCGTCTATACCCAGAGGTACTGGGAAGGAAGAGAGGGAAGGGTTACAGCCACTTGTGGACCACTGGCCTTAGTACTCTCTATTCTTATAGGGCTCTCCCTGCTCCTGTGGGCAATGAGGGTCCCACACTAATGCCACTCAGGAGGGCAGACAGGGTCCACAGCAAACACAAAAGCTCTCCGTTCTCCTGACCCAGGGTCACTGCCTGAGAACTCCCTATATTGGCAGAAGGAAACACATACTGGTGCTGACTCAGGAATTAGGAGGAATCTCTATCCACAGTGCATCAATCAGACAATTCAGGGAATGGAACAGGAAGGGGAATAACTATGCATGTATAGACAGGTTAAGGTGGGTGTGAGGAGTGTCTTTAAAGGCAAGTGAGAATGAAATGAGTGAAGGTTGGTTCTTTAATGAGGGCACAGCTGTACTTCCACATGAAGCTACGTGGAACAAAAGACCCCCCCTCTATCAAATTATCCTCAGAATGTACTTGAAGGCATGCAAACACAGCTGTTCACCACTGGACTTAGATGAGACCATGGGAAATGTCCAAGTGGGCGCACACACGAACCTAGACCACGTTCCTCCAACTGTGGGACCCTCTTGCAAGGGCATTCTCACAAGCTGCTGAATGCTAGCCACCAGGCCTAAACCAGTCCGACACACAGAGGGAAGACGCAGAGGCAGCAGCTCAGGTCACAGAGGGAGCCTGAGCAGCTTTGCTCCCCTGCACTGGGTGAGCTTTACTCTCCCTGCCCTCCACACCCTGCAGGTCTCAGGGGCACAGCAGATTCCTGCTCGCTGACGTCACAGCTCCCTCAGCACAGGCAACACCTGACTGGCACTGAGGAGGAGCCCGCACACCTGTCACACTGATGACTGCCGTTCCCCGCTGGACTGCATCTCTGCTCCTGCGGGGACTGGGTCCTCCTGGCAGGCAGGCACACTGAACAGTTCACCTCTTGAGGGCACAGAAGAAGGAAAATGGTCCGTTCCCTACTGGTGCTCATGTAACCCCCTTTCCCTCACAAGCCCCTGATTTCCTCCATCAGGCAGTTCCTGGACCACTGGGAGTCTCCCAGACAATTCACTGTCAAATGTCTGCCACCCTACTTGACTCCTGAGACAACGGGAGGGAGGAAAATGCCCACAGCACCGGCTCAGCAGAAAAATGACGGAGGCTCCCACAAGTCCCGCCCAGAGGTGGCCACCACTAGGCTCCAGAGCTCTTCCCACCAGGTCACAGCTGCCATGAATCCCAGAGCTCAGACCCCTGAAACTGCCTGTGTCCGGGCCTTCAGAGCCCACTCGATGTGGAGACCTGAGCTGGCTGGGGCCCCTACTGATTTGAGCCCTACAGGGAACATCGTCTTGGCACCAACCTATACCCTCACTTCCCTGCCAAGCCAGTCCCGCCCAGGCGCATAGCCACCACCTGAGGAGATCCGCAAATGAATTCCTCTTGATGGCAGTATTGCACCACAAATGCCATTCTCCTGTTCCCTCCAGTCCTCCCTCCTCCCTGCGTGGAGGAAAAAACAACCAGTCCTGTCCCAACAGATACCTAGCATGGCTGCCTGGTTCCTAGGGACCAGGAGGAGCTAGGGCAATGTACTGGGTGTTAGACATACCCGGAGCCCATGCAGTCTGGCCTCAGCACGCAGTCCTGGGCTGCCCTTGGGAACTTGCTCATCGGACGCCCCTTAGGGCACCCCGCGTGGGGGCAGGGCACCTGCACCTAGCCAGGCCCCACTGTCTGCACCACAAGCTGCTTAGGCTCTCCAGGATACAAGCAAAGATCCCACTAGCTCTCACCCAATCCCATTCTGAAAAGCGGGGGACTTTACACTGTCACTGAACCCTGCCATGCCAGCCTGCCCCGGAGGTACAGGGCAGCCAGAGAATCTGAATCAGTCATTGACAAGTCATTCCCACATGACAGCTCATCCAGGCAGACTGAAAGGGTATGTAGTCAGAGGTACCGGGAAGGAAGAGAGGGATGAGTTACAGCCATCCCAGGACCACAGGCCTCATGAAACCTGTACTCTCACAGGGCTCCTCCCTGGTCTGTAGATCTAGAGGTCCCACACTCAGGACAGGAGACAAGGGCCACAGCAAACACACTAACTCTCCATGCGCCTGACCCAGGGTCACTGCCTGAAAACTCCTTATATTGCCAGAAGGACAAACATATTGGTGGTAACCCATGAATTAGGAGGAATCTATCCACACTACATCATACAGACAATTGAACGGAATGGAACAAGAAGGGGTATACATATGCATATATAGACCTGACAACGTATAACTGACATAGTATCTTTACAGGCAAGTGGGAGCACAGAGGGAGACATCGTTTCCCCCAGGAGCCCAGTACAGCACACACTGCTGAAAGGCCTCATGCATTAGGTTCCTTTCTTAACTGGGTTCATCCACAAACGGTAGGAGGGGAGAAGATGGGGGCAGGTGGCAATAGTGGAGCAACACAGCCATGAAATATAAGTGGTCTGTGCCTTCCCCTCTCTCTGTGTAGACCCTAGTAGAATGTTTGTGATTAGGGAACAGTGGGGTGGCAGCAATCATGGTTCTTGTTGCTGGCCAGGGGCCACCAGCAGGTGCCTCCTAATGGGTCTGGATCGGGTCACCCAGGGGTGGAACCTGGGGGACAGGCAGACATGGACAGGAGGCAGAGGAGGGCAGGCCTCACTGGCCGCCATATTTGAGACAAGCAGCTGAGTTTCTGTGGACACTGGCCCTGCTGAAAACCAGGTGAGAACTCCTGATAGTCTGGCACTAGACCTAAAGCAGTTCAGGGTTTCAAGTCCGTTCCTGTCCCAGTTGTGTGTTACTTTCTGCACACCCTCAAAGAAAGTCTGCTCTTCATAGGCTACATCCACCCTGGTCACTGCCTCTGCTGGCTCCTCCCACACTGCCATGGAGCCCCACCCCTAGGGGGCCCCTGTCATCCAGGCTCCTTCTACTAAGGACAACTGCAGTCAGGATCTGCTCTATGCTACTGCTGGGACCAGGAGCTCTGGGGAGCTCACAGGGAGGCTGAATGTAAGGACTCGCAGCCAGATACCATGCAATGGAAATGGATCAGTTCTAACTGCCATAAGCAGATTCTGAAACTGGCAAACTTCTGTGTTCTTGTAGGAGGAGGCAGGTTCAAGGTTGAAGGTACCTTCTTGAGCCCCAGAGGTCATCTAAAACAGTGACCCCCATGCACCAAGGCACCGGGGCAGAATCCTGATCAGGACCAAGCCTAGGTCTTTGCAGAGACTTCTGCAAGCCCCACCCAGACATGGCCACTAATTGGATCCCGAGTTCCGCTATCTCCTCCAAGCTGCACACACACACCGGAACTCGGTCCCCTGGCCTTGCCTATGTTCTGGGCCACCATAACCCACTGCACACGGTAGCCAAGCTGGACCCAGATCCAAGGGCTCTGAGCCCTCACAGGGGGAAGCCTTGGGACCCACCTGCACCTTCCCTTTTCTGCCAAGCCAGTCCCACACAGGCACACAGCTGCAAGTGCTGTCGGGTTGCATAAACTGCTTCCTCTCCATGGCAGTATTATAGCACAAGTGCCACCTGCCCTACCCCAAAACGTGTCTATCCTCCGCCCTTCAAACAGCTACAAAATGCCCAGAGCTGTTCAGCAGGAATCCAAAATGGCTGCTGCCCAGCATGACCACTCTTCCTGGCTGAGGGGAGCAGGAGGAGCCAACACACAGCACTGGGTACTGCACTGACCCTGGTGGCTGTACACTGCTGGGGGCTGCACATGTGACCAGCGCACAAGGGATGTCTACATGGACACCCCAGCTATAGTGGGGACCTGCACCTAGTCAGGCCACAACACCTGCACTGCACTTGGCTTCAGCCCTCGGGGATCCATGCAAAGGCCCCACAGGCTAGGACACCTGATCACCCAGCCTAGGCCTCTGCTCCCCTACTGGTGGGACAGACGGCTCTGAGAGGCCTCTACCAGAGTCCCTACCCCTGAGCCAGTGCTACTGTCCAGAAAGGGGCTGGAGGAAGTAGTCACACTCAGCCAGGTAAGCACACCTTGACAGAGGGTTCTGCTGGTCCCTAAACGCATGATTGTCACCGAGATGCAAATTTTGATACTTTATCCTAACGCAGAGGCAGCCTAGCTCTCTGCAGGGCCCTAGTGCTGGCTGAACCTATGCAGACTTGGGTCAACTTTCCTCAAGCCTGCTGGACATGTGGAAGCTGGGCAAACCTGACCGTGGCCCTCCCTGGGACCCTGACTTGATTTCATTCCCTCTCACTCCCACTATGGCTAGGTAGCTGTCTCAGGAGTACGTATCTCAGGACTGGCAAACAAGATTGTCGTGATGGAAGAAATGCAAGAGAAAATCCAGAAAGCCTTCTCCAGTACTCACACACCCTTTCATTCCTCTGCTGTTTTCCATAAAACCAAGACTCCACATGTGTCCATTTAGATACTACCTGAAGACTCATGACCCCAGATCTCCCAATTGACCCTCCATCCTGAGAGAACTCGCGTGAAGTGAGGTCCTAGGATTAAATCAAGGAGCCCAGGAAATTCTCCCCATGAAGCTATCCTAAGAATGTACACATATAGGCCGGCGCCCTGACTCACTTGGCTAATCCACCGCCTGTGGCGCCAGCACCCCAGGTTCTAGTCCAGGTTGCTCCTCTTCCAGTCCAGCTCTCTACTGTGTCGGGAGTGCAGTGCAGGATGGCCCAAGTGCTTGGACCCTGTACCCGCATGGGAGACCAGGAAAGGCACCTGGCTCCTGGCTTCGGATCGGTGTAGCGCCGGCCGTAGCGGCCATTTGGGCGGTGAACCAACGGAAAAAGGAAGACCTTTCTCTCTGTGTCTCTCTCTCTCTAACTCTGCTTGTCAAAAAAACGAAGGAGCCTCTGGGCTCTTCCTGGGTTGGGGGTCATGAAGAGAGAGTGAGGAGCTGAGGGAATAGTAGTCAGAAAGTGGAGAGGTCATTCTATCAGATTCACCTTCCCCAGACACACAGGATGCAAGGGAAGAGGACTGCACCCAGGCAGGTGTGGCTGCTTCCACAATGGTGCAGAGGACTGCGGAGTGCTCATGCTGATAATTTGGATCAAAACACATACAAAGATCTATAGAAACACAGATTCTGCTTCTTGTCTTTCCACTGACAATTATAATCCCAGAGAGAGCATTCATCAAGGGACAGCAACCACCCTGGTACTCATCACTGGACACCTTCCTTCTTGGGTTCCTGTGTGTGGAGGACTCCATTATTTTTTTCAGCCACAAAAGGCGGAGGGAGAGAAGGGGAAGTCGGGACAGGCCCATGTCTGGAGCAGTAGCGCCATCCAGCGGAAGCTGTTTCAGAATGGCATACAGTCCATTCAGCACATCCACGTGGAAGGCCCAGAACTCAGGGAGAGTGAGTTCAGTGCCCAGAGCAGGCACAAGCAAGCTTGTTGTGGAAAGTGCCGGACTACCCACCCAGGAATCCTGCATGGCCCAGACTGCAAGGCTGATGTGGTGGTGGGAGCCGGTGCTCAGGGGCGGCCATGGTGCACAGCCTGCAGCTGAAGCATCTCAGGGCACTGTGTCTCTGCACAGGAGGGGAGGCAGCACTTCCTGACTCTCCCCACCAGGGCACAGCAGGGAGCCTGAGCAGCTCTGCTCCCCTGCACTGGGTGAGCTTTACTCTCCCTGCCCCCCACACCCTGCAGGTCTCAGGGCACAGCAGATTCCTGCTCGCTGAGGTCACAGCTCCCTCAGCACAGGCGACACCTGACTGGCACTGAGGAGGAGCCGCACACCTGTCACACTGATGACCGCCGTTCCCCGCTGGCCTGCATCTGTGTTCCTGCGGGGGCTGGGTCCTCCTGGGATGGCCGACATGCTGATCAGGTCACCTATGAGGGGACAGAGGTAGGAAAATGCTCCAGTCCCTTTGGTACTCATGTAACCCCCTAAACCCTCAACAAGCCCCGGCGTTCTTGCCCAGGCAGTTCCTGGACCACTGTAAGTTTTCAGACAATTCAGAACAGAAAGTGTTGCACCCACTTCACACATAAGAAAACAGGGACCAAATGCCCAAAGGTCCTGCTCAGGACAAAATGGCTGACGCTTCCACAAGCCCCGCCCAGACATGGCGGCCACAGGGTTCCTGGCTATGTCAGGCTAGGACACAGCGTCCGCAGGGTCCTGAGATCAACCCATTGCCACTCCCTGTGTTCGGAAACTCCAGATTGCTCTCACTGCAAGGAACCAAACTGTCCCAGGACTCCAAGTGCTCGGCACCCGCCTCCACCCTCACGTCCCTGGGAGCCAGTTCTGCGCAGGCGCTCAGCCGCCAGCCTAGAAGTATCCGCAACTGAATTCCTCTTGATGGCAGTATTGCACCACAAATGCCATCTGCCCTGTATCCGCAGGTCCTCCCTCCTCCCTTCGTGCAGGAAAAAAACGGCGCTATCCAGTGGGTGCCCAGCATGGCTGCAATCCACATGGGCTACTCTACCTGGGTCTGAGGGGAGTAGGGGCAGCTAAGGCAATGCACTGGGGGCTGAACCCATCTGGTAGCCAGGCAGCCTGGCCTCAACAAGAAACTCCTGGGCTGCCCTTGGGAACAACACTCAGTGGAAGCTCATGAGGGCAACACCAGTGGTGGTAGGCACCACACCTAGCCATGGCGCACAGTCTGCACTACAAAAGGTTTCAGTCCTCAGGGATCAAGGCATTAGTCAGAGGTTCTGACCCAATCCTATCCTGACAACAGTGAGACTCAGACATTTCCTGAACCAAGCTACAACAGATAAACCAGGAAGCCCAGGGCAACCAAATAATCTAAATCAGTCCCTGACAAGTCATATACTCAGGAAGTCTCATCCAGACAGACTTAAAAGGTCTGCAGCCAGAGGTACTGGGAAGGAAGACAGGGAAGAGTTACAGCCATCCCAGGACCACAGGCCTCAGTACCTCTCTACACCCATAGGGCTCTCCCCTGCTCTGTGGACAATGAGAGTCCCACACTAAGGCCACTCAGGAGGAGAGACGGGGCCACACCAAACACACTGACTCTCCTTGCACGTGACCCAAGGTCAGTGCTGGAGAACTCCTTATATTGGCAGAAGGAAACACATATTGGTGCTGACTCAGGACTTAGGAGCAATCTCTATGCACAGTGCATCATTCAGACAAATGACAGGATGGAACAGGAAGGGGAATAAGTATGCGTGTATAGACCTGATAAAGGGGGCGTGAGAAGTATCTTTACAGGCTAGTAAGAATGAATGAGAGAAGGGGTGGTTGTTTAATTGGGGTAAAGTCAGAGCTGCACGTGGAGTTACCTGGATGGTATAGCAAACCCATGGGTCCTGCCAGGGGCACCTCCATGTGCAAATGCACTCTGGACTCTTACACGTCATGGAGACACAACGTGGGACATTCCATAGGGAGTGCGAGCCAGGGCTTTGTCTCCCATCTTCCATTCTGACGTGGGCCCTGTCACGTCCTGCTGTCCCCACAATGCCCTGCTTCCTACCAGGCCAGCTCCTGTGTCTCTGAGCGGGATGGGATACCTACTTGGGAAGTCTCCACTGTCCTCTCTCTGGAATGGGCTGCAAAAACACAAAAGAAAGGAAATAAGGAGAGGGCATCCAGGAATTCATCCTTTGAGGTTAGAAATCCATACACCCATGAAAGCAACAACTGTGCCTCTGAAAACAACCTTGTACCAGACCTTTATAAATAAATTCACATGAACCTAGAAAGGTGGCAGTTATTAGGGCTTATAATGTGAAATGTTATGGTATGTCAAGGGACCTGTAGACATCCTTATTCATACTCTTATTTTCTGCACAGTAACATTCCACAAGGGGAGCAGACAGAGGGAGAAGTCAATTTCCTCAGGACCCCAAGACAGCTGACACTGCTTAAAGGCGGTGTGCACTTGGGGCCTTACCCTGGGGGTTCATCCACAAAGGGTAGGAGAGGAGGAGATGGGGGTAGGTAGCAATAGTGGGGCAACACAGCCATGAAATATAAGTGGTCTGACTGTGCCTTCCCCTCTCTGTGCAGACCCTAGTAGAATGTTTGTGATTAGGGAACTGTGGGGTGGAAGCAATCATGGTTCTTGTTGCTGGCCAGGGCCCTCCAGCAGGTGCCTCCTAATGGGTCTGGATCGGGTCATCCAGGGGTGGAACCTGGGGGACAGGCAGACATGGACAGGAGGCAGAGCAGGGCAGGCCTCAATGGCCACCATATTTGGGACAAGGAGCTGAGTTTCTGTGGACACTGGCCCTGCCGAAAAACCAGGTGAGAACTCCTGATTGTCTGGAGCTAGACCTAAAGCAGTTCAGGGTTTCAAGTCCGTTCCTGTCCCAGTTGTGTGTTACTTTCTGCACACCCTCAAAGAAAGTCTGCTCTTCATAGGCAACTGGTCACTGCCTCTGCTGGCCCTTCCACACTGCTAGGACCCCACCCCTAGGGGGCCCCTGTCATCCAGGCTCCTTCTGCTAAGGACAACTGCAGTCAGGAGTGGCTCTATGCTCCTGCCAGGACCAGGAGCTCTGGGGAGCTCACAGGGAGGCTGAATGTAAGGACTCGCAGCCAGATACCATGCAATGGAAATGGATCAGTTCTAACTGCCATAAGCAGATCCCGAACCTGGAAGACTCCTGTGTTCTTGTAGGAGGAGGCAGGTTCAAATTGAAAGAGTCCTCTTGGGCCCAAAGGTCATCTAAAACAGTGACCCCAATGCTTCAGGGCATGAGGGGATTAGGAAAATGAGATAGAATCCTGATCAGAACCAACCTTAGGTCTTTGCAGAGACTTCTGCAAACCCCGCCCAGACAAGGCTGCCACTAGGATCCCAATTCTGCATGCTGGGACAAGCCATCACACCACCTGGAGCTCAGTACGGGGCTCACCTGTGTTCAGGGCTTCCACAACCCACAGGCTGCAGTGGCCAAGCTGGCTCTGGACCCAAGGGTTCTGAACTCTCACAGGGTGCAGCCTTGGGACCCATCTGCATCTTCCCTTTACTGCCAAGCCAGTCCACACATGCACATACTGGAAGGGTTGGTGAGATGCACCAACCACTTCCTCCTGATGGCCGAATTGCACCACAAATGCCACCTGACCTGAACTCCAACATTTCCTCCCTCTGCCTTGATACAGCTTGGAGGCTGCACATGGGACCAGTGCACAAGGGATGTCTGTAAGGACCCTGAGCCACAGTAGGGACCTCGCCTAAGACAGCCCCACCGTCTGCACCACCCTTGGCTTCAGCCCTGGAAAATCCTTGCAAAGGCCCCACAGGCTGGGACACCTCCTCATCCAGGCACAGGCTGACTCGGACACTGTCACTGGAATGTTCCAGGTGCCTTCTAATACGAGGAAGAGTGGCTGTGGGGCTCTCAGGAAACGCTGGCGCTGTCCTAGGCCATGTCACCCAGCACCTCCAGAACTGGTGTGAAAACATGGGAGTGTGGATCTCCCAGGGAGACCTGGGAGTCTACTAGGAAGGTAGTGGAGGCAGGCCACCGTGCCTGTCATAATTAGCAGCTTGGAGCCAGAAGCAATGCACAGCACTTTTCCTGCCACTCAAGCCTTGAAGGAAAACCAATGTCAGGCAGCTTGCACAGCTTAGAGTTGTTGAGAGGTCTGCATTAACACGGTTGCTCTTACTAGAGAACAGGGGGATTCCATATGACAGGGAAGCTGACTGTACTCTCTGACTCAGGACTTGTGGCACCACAGACCCAGCTCTGAGGAGCAGAGGGAACCAGCACTGTCACAGTCACAACCTGGTACTGGGGACCAGCCCCCAAGACTTTCAAATCATCCATCCCTGACCCAGGGTTTGGGAAACAGGGCCTGAAAACCTGAGGTCTTAATGCACAATAATCCACATGGCCAAACGATGAACCTCAACAGTGAGAAATCCATGGGGACAGATAGGTTTTCAGCACTGTATCGAGACTGTGACAGAGGAATTGGTGGATGGGTCTGGAGACATCTTAATAGACTTCTAAGAGAGGCTGACAAGGACAAGGCCTTTAACATGAATTAGCTGGCAAAGAGCATGACCTACCCTAGACGGTCTGCTCACTTGCCCCTGGGAGGCACCAAGTCTCCAAAGAAGGGCTGTGTCCCCAGAGGAATGCACCAGGTTCCTGGGCTTAACAGACACAACAGAGAGGTGGTAGAAATGAAAAAGACCAGTGAGCTGTCTGCCCTGGGAGCACAGAGGGAATCCTGGTCTAGTGGAGGTGGGGGTGCTACACCCAACCCTGCAGGGCTTATGCAGCATCTGCTGACATCTTGATTGCCAGGGCCCTAGTGTGAGATCTGCAGAGCCAGTGACATTGGTTATTCTAGATTCTTGGGTTCCATTATGTGGAGGACACCATTATTTTTTTCAGCCACAAAAGGCGGAGGGAGAGATGGGGAAGATGGGATGGTTCCATTTCTGGAGCACCAGCGCCATCCAGCGGAAGCAGTTTCAGAATGAACTGTGTCCATCCAGTACGTCCCACGGGGAAGGCTCCCAAGTGAGGGGTAGAGAGGTCAGTCCCCAGAGCAGGCACCAGCACTGCAGGTATGAAAGTTGAGTGCCCAGCTCCCCGACCCAGGGATCCTGAGAGGCCCGGACTGCAAGGCTGCAGAGGTCGTGCGGGCCGGTGTTCAGGGGCCGCCATGTTGCACAGCCTGCAGCTGAAGCATCTCAGGGCACTGTGTGTCTGCACAGGAGGCTGATGACCGCCGTTCCCCGCTGGACTGCATCTGTGCTTCTGCAGGGACTGAGTCCTCCTGGGATGGCCGCCATGCTGATTAGGTCACCTGTGAGGGGACAGAGGTAAGAACTGCTCCACTCCCTATTGGTGCTCATGAACCACCGTTCCTTCAACAAGCCCCAGCGTTCCTGCCCAGGCAGTTCCTGGACCACTGGGAGTTTTCAGACACTTCAGAACAGAAAGTGTTGCACCCACTTCACTCCTAAAAAAAAGAAGGACCAAATGCCCAAAGATCCTGCTCAGGACAAAATGGCTGACACTTCCACAAGCCCCGCTCAGACATGGCGGCCACAGGGCTCCTGGCTTGTCAGGATAGGCCACAAGGGCCACAAGTTCCGGAGCTCAGCCCCCTGCCACTGCCTGTGTTCCTAAACTGCAGATTCCACTACTGCAAGGAACTGAGCTGTCCTGGGCCTCCAAGGGCTCAGCACACGCCTGCACCCTCATGTCCCTGGGAAGCCAGTTCTGCGCAGGCGCTCAGCCGCCAGCCTGGCAGTTTCCACAACTGAATTCCTCTTGATGGCAGTATTGCACAACAAATGCCATGCCCTGTTCTCGTGGGTCCTCCCTCCTCCCTTCGTGAAGGAAAAAAACGGCGCTGACCAGTGGGTGCCCAGCCTTGTTGCAATCCACAAGGGCAACTCTGCTTGGGTCTGAGGGGAGCACCAGGAGCTAAGGCAATGCACTGGGGGTTGAACCCATCTGGTAGCCAGGCAGCCTGGCCTCAGCAAGAAATTCCTGGGCTGCCCTGAAGACCAACAGTCAATGGGCACTCTTTAGGGGAACACCAGTGGGGACACGCACAACGCCTAGCCAGCCTACACTGTCAGCACCACAAATGGCTTCAGCCCTCTGGAATGAAGGCATAGGACCAGGGCTCTGACCCAATCCTATCCAACAACAGTGGGACTCAGACACTGTCACACAGCCCTGCCACGTCTGCTTGCCCAGGAGGTCCAGGACAGGCAGATACACTGACCCAGTCACTGATGAGTCATTTTGACATGAAGTCTCCTCCAGGCAGACCTAAAGCGTCTGTACCCAGAGGTACTGGGAAGGAAGAGAGGGAAGGGTTACAGCCACTTGTGGACCACTGGCCTTAGTACTCTCTGTTCTTATAGGGCTCTCCCTGCTCCTGTGGGCAATGAGGGTCCCACACTAATGCCACTCAGGAGGGCAGACAAGGGCCGCAGCAAACACAGCAGCTCTCCGTGCTCCTGACCCAGGGTCACTGCCTGAGAACTCCCTATATTGGCAGAAGGAAACACATACTGGTGCTGACTCAGGAATTAGGAGGAATCTCTATCCACAGTGCATCAATCAGACAATTCAGGGAACGGAAGACAAAAGGGAGTAAGTAAGCATGTATAGACAGGTTCAGGTGGGTGTGAGGAGTGTGTTTAAAGGCAAGTGAGAATGAAATGAGTGAAGCTTGGTTGTTTAATGAGGGCACAGCTGCACTGCCACATGAAGCTACCTGGAACAAAAGACCCCCCTCTATCAAATTATCCTCAGAATGTACTTGAAGGCATGCAAACACAGCTGTTCACCACTGGACTTAGATGAGACCATGGGAAATGTCCAAGTGGGCGCTCACACGAACCTAGACCACGTTCCTCCAACTGTGGGACCCTCTTGCAAGGGCATTCTCACAAGCTGCTGAATGCTAGCCACCAGGCCTAAACCAGTCCGACACACAGAGGGAAGACGCAGAGGCAGCAGCTCAGGTCACAGAGGGAGCCCGAGCAGCTCTGCTCCCCTGCACTGGGTGAGCTTTACTCTCCCTGCCCTCCACACCCTGCAAGTCTCAGGGGCACAGCAGATTCCTGCTCGCTGACGTCACAGCTCCCTCAGCACAGGCGACACCTGACTGGCACTGAGGAGGAGCCGCACACCTGTCACACTGATGACCGCCGTTCCCCGCTGGCCTGCATCTGTGCTCCTGCGGGGACTGGGTCCTCCTGGGATGGCCGCCATGCTGATCAGGTCACCTATGAGGGGACAGAGGTAGGAAAATGCTCCAGTCCCTTTGGTGCTCATGTAACCCCCTTTTCCTCAACAAGCCCCTGTATTCCTCCATCAGGCAGTTCCTGGACCACTGGGAGTCTCCCAGACAATTCACCGTCAAAAGTCCGCCACCCTACTTGACTCCTGAGACAAGGAGAAGATGGGGGCAGGTGGCAATAGTGGGGCAACACAGCCCTGAAATATAAGTGGTCTGACTGTGCCTTCCCCTCTCTCTGTGCAGACCCTAGTAGAATGTTTGTGATTAGGGAACAGTGGGGTGGCAGCAATCATGGTTCTTGTTGCTGGCCAGGGCCCTCCAGCAGGTGCCTCCTTAATGGGTCTGGATCGGGTCACCCAGGGGTGGGACCTGGGAGACAAACAGACATGGACAGGAGGCAGAGGAGGGCAGGCCTCACTGGCCGCCATATTTGGGACAAGGAGCTGAGTTTCTGTGGACACTGGCCCTGCTGAAAAACCAGGTGAGAACTCCTGATTGTCTGGAGCTAGACCTAAAGCAGTTCAGGGTTTCAAGTCCGTTCCTGTCCCAGTTGTGTGTTACTTTCTGCACACCCTCAAAGAAAGTCTGCTCTTCATAGGCTACATCCACCCTGGTCACTGCCTCTGCTGGCTCCTCCCACACTGCCATGGAGCCCCACCCCTAGGGGGCCCCTGTCATCCAGGCTCCTTCTGCTAAGGACAACTGCAGTCAGGAGTGGCTCTATGCTCCTGCCAGGACCAGGAGCTCTCAGGAGCTCACAGGGAGGCTGAATGTAAGGACTCGCAGCCAGATACCATGCAATGGAAATGGATCAGTTCTAACTGCCATAAGCAGATTCTGAAACTGGAAGACTCCTGTGTTCTTGCAGGAGGAGGCAGGTTTAAATTGAAAGAGTCCTCTTGGGGCCCAGAGGCCATCTAAAACAGTGACCCCAATGCTTCAGGGCATGAGGGGATTAGGAAAACAAGACAGAATCCTGAACAGGATCAAGCCTAGGTCTTCTCAGAGACTTCTGCAAGCCCTGCCCAGACAAGGCCGCCACCAGGTTCCCCAGTTCTGCATGCTGCGACAAGCCATCACACCACCTGGAGCTCTGTACGTGGATCACCTGTGTTCAGGGCTTCCACAACCCACAGGCCCCAGTGGCCACGCTAGCTCAGGATCCAAGGGTTCTGAGCTCTCAGAGTACAGAATTGGGACCCATCTGTACCCTCCCTTTACTGCCAAGCCAGTCCACACATGCACATACTAGAAGGGTTGGTGAGATGTACCAATCGCTTCCTAGTGATGGCAGAATTGCACCACAAATGCCACCTGCCCTGAACCCCAACATTTCCTCCCTCTACCTTGACACAGCTTTGGGGCTGCACATGGGACCAGTGCACAAGGGATGTCTGTAAGGACCCCGAGCCACAGTAGGGACCTCGCCTAAGCCAGCCCCACCATCTGCACTGCCCTTGGCTTCCGCCCTCGGAAATCCATGCAAAGGCCCCACAGGCTAGTACACCTGTTTCCCTAGGCAAAAATAAAAAGAAAAAAAAGTCCAGATGACAAATCGATGAATCTCAACAGTGAGAAATCAATGGGGACAGACAGGTTTTCAGCACTATTGCGAGAACGTGACAAAACAGGGTTGGATGGATGGGTCTAAAAATTTCCTAGTATACTCCTAGGAGAAGCTGACGAGGGCAAGGCCTTTAACATGAATTAGCTGGCAAAGAGCATGACCTACCCTAGAAGTTCTACTCACTTGCCCCTGGGAGACACCAGCTCACCAAGGAAGGACTGTGTCCCCAGAGGAATGCACCAGGTTCCTGGGCTTAACAGACACAACAGAGAGGTGGTAGAAATGAAAAAGACCAGTGAGGTGTCTACCCTGGGAGCACAGAGGGAATCCTGGTCTAGTGGAGGTGGGGGTGCTACACCCAACCCTCCAGGGCTTATGCAGCATCTGCTGACATCTTGATTGCCAGGGTCCTAGTGTGAGATCTGCAGAGCCAGTGACCTCAGACACAAAGGTGATTCTAGATTCTTGGGTTCCATTATGTGGAGGACACCATTATTTTTTTCAGCCACAAAAGGCGGAGGGAGAGATGGGGAAGAGGGGATGGTTCCATTTCTGGAGCAGCAGCGCCATCCAGCGGAAGCTGTTTCAGAATGAACTGTGTCCTCCAGCACATCCAACATGGAAGGCTGGCAAGTAGGGGGAGAGTTCAGTGTCCAGAACAGGCAGCAGCAAGGCTGGTGTGGAAAGTTGAGTGCCAGGCTCCCCCACCCACGGATCCTGCATGGCCCGGCCTGTAAGGCTGCAGAAGCGGTGGGGCCAGTGCTCAGGGGCCGCCATGTTGCACAGCCTGCAGCTGAAGCATCTCAGGGCACTGTGTCTCTGCACAGGAGGGGAGGCAGCACTTCCTGACTCTCCCACCAGGTCACAGCAGGGAGCCTGAGCAGCTCTGCTCCCCTGCACTGGGTGAGCTTTACTCTCCCTGCCCCCCACACCCTGCAGGTCTCAGGGGCACAGCAGATTCCTGCTCGCTGACGTCACAGCTCCCTCAGCACAGGCAACACCTGACTGGCACCGAGGAGGAGCCCGCACACCTGTCACACTGATGACCGCCGTTCCCCGCTGGCCTGCATCTGTGCTCCTGTAGGGACTGGGTCCTCCTGGGATGGCCGCCATGCTGATCAGGTCACCTATGAGGGGACAGAGGTAGGAAAATGCTCCAATCCCTATTGGTGCTCATACAATCCCATTCCCTCCGCAAGCCCTTTTGTTCCTCCACCAGGCAGTTTCTGGGCCACTGGGAGTCTCCCAGACAATTCACCGTCAAAAGTCTGCCACCCTACTTGACTCCTAAGTCAACGGGAGGGACCAAAATGCCCACAGCACCTGCTCAGCACAAAATGGAGGAGGCTTTCATAAGCCCCGGCCAGACATGGCCTCCACTAGGCTCCTGAGCTCTTCCCACCAGGTCACAGCTGCCATGAATCCCAGAGCTCCGACCCCTGTAACTGCATGTGTCCGGGCCTTCAGAGCCCACTCGATGTGGAGACCTGAGCTGGCTGGGCCTCCACGGATTTGAGCCCTACAGGGAACATCGTCTTGGCACCAACCTATACCCTCACTTCCCTGCCAAGCCAGTCCCGCCCAGGCGCATAGCCACCACCTGAGGAGATCCGCAAATGAATTCCTCTTGATGGCAGTATTGCACCACAAATGCCATTCTCCTGTTCCCTCCAGTCCTCCCTCCTCCCTGCGTGGAGGAAAAAACTACCAGTGCTGTCCCAACAGATACCTAGCATGGCTGCCTGGTTCCTAGGGACCAGGAGGAGCTAGGGCAATGTACTGGGTGTTAAACGAAGCTGGAGCCCATGCAGTCTGGCCTCAGCACGCAGTCCTGGGCTGCCCTTGGGCACCCCCGCGTGGGGGCAGGGCACCTGCACCTAGCCAGGCCCCACTGTCTGCACCACAAGTTGCTTAGGCTCTCCGGGATACAAGCAAAGATCCCACTGGCTCTCACCCAATCCCATTCTGAAAAGCGGGGGACTTTACACTGTCACTGAACCCTGCCACGCCAGCCTGCCCCAGAGGTACAGGGCAGCCAGAGAATCTGAATCAGTCATTGACAAGTCATTCCCACATGACAGCTCATCCAGGCAGACTGAAAGGGTTTGTAGTCAGAGGTACTGGGAAGGAAGAGAGGAATGAGTACAGCCATCCCAGGACCACAGGCCTCATGAAACCTGTACTCTCACAGGGCTCCTCCCTGGTCTGTAGATCTAGAGGTCCCACACTCAGGACAGGAGACAAGGGCCACAACAAACACACTAACTCTCCATGCGCCTGACCCAGGGTCACTGCCTGAAAACTCCTTATATTGCCAGTAGGACACACATATTGGTGGTAACCCATGAATTAGGAGGAATCTATCCACACTACATCATACAGACAATTGAACGGAATGGAACAAGAAGGGGTATACATATGCATATATAGACCTGACAACGTATAACTGACATAGTATCTTTACAGGCAAGTGGGAGCACAGAGGGAGACATCGTTTCCCCTAGGAGCCCAGTACAGCACACACTGCTGAAAGGCCTCATGCATTAGGTTCCTTTCTTAACTGGGTTCATCCACAAACGGTAGGAGGGGAGAAGATGGGGGCAGGTGGCAATAGTGGGGCAACACAGCCATGAAATATAAGTGGTCTGTGCCTTCCCCTCTCTCTGTGTAGACCCTAGTAGAATGTTTGTGACTACGGAGCAGTGGGGTGGCAACAATCATGGTTCTTGTTGCTGGCCAGGACCCTCCAGCAGGTGCCTCCTTAATGGGTCTATTTCGGGTCACCCAGGGGTGGGACCTGGGGGACAGGCAGACATGGACAGGAGGCAGAGGAGGGCAGGCCTCACTGGCCGCCATATTTGAGACAAGAAGCTGAGTTTCTGTGGACACTGGCCCTGCTGAAAAACCAGGTGAGAACTCCTGATTGTCTGGAGCTAGACCTAAAGCAGTTCAGGGTTTCAAGTCCGTTCCTGTCCCAGTTGTGTGTTACTTTCTGGCAACCCTCAAACAAAGTCTGCTCTACATAGGCAACTGGTCACTGCCTCTGCTGGCTCCTCCCACACTGCTAGGATCCCCACTCCTAGGGGGCCCCTGTCATCCAGGCTCCTTCTACTAAGGACAACTGCAGTAGAAGCGGCTCTATGCTCCTGCCGGGACCAGGAGTTCTCGGGAGCTCACAGGGAGGCTGAATGTAAGGATCTGAGACAGGTTCTGAGGAAGGGAAATGGATCAGTTCTAACTGCCATAAGCAGATTCTGAAACTGGCAAACTTCTGTGTTCTTGTAGGAGGAGGCAAGATCAAGGATGAAGGAACTTTCTTGAGCCCCAGAGGTCATCTAAAACAGTGACCCCCATGCACCAAGGCACCGGGCAGAATCCTGATCAGGACCAAGCCTAGGTCTTTGCAGAGACTTCTGCAAGCCCCACACAGACATGGCCAGTAATTGGATCCCGAGTTCCGCTATCTGCTCCAAGCTACACACACACACCGGAACTCGGTCCCCTGGCCTTGCCTATGTTCTGGGCCACCATAACCCACTGGACACGGTAGCCCAGCTGGACCCGGATCCAAGGGCTCTGAGCCCTCACAGGGGGAAGCCTTGGGACCCACCTACACCCTCCCTTTTCGGCCAAGCTTGTCCCACACAGGCACACAGCTGCAAGTGCTGTCGGGTTGCATAAACTGCTTCCTCTCCATGGCAGTTTTATAACACAAGTGCCACCTGCCCTACCCCAAAACCTGTCTATCCGCCGACCTTTAAACAGCTACAAAATGCCCAGAGCTGTTCAGCAGGAATCCAAAATGGCTGCTGCCCAGCATGACCACTCTTCCTGGCTGAGGGGAGCAGGAGGAGCCAACACACAGCACTGGGTACTGCACTGACCCTGGTGGCTGTACACTGCTGGGGGCTGCACGTGTGACCAGTGCACAAGGGAGGCCTACATGGACACTCCAGCTATAGTAGGGACCTGCACCTAGTCGGGCCGCAACACCTGCACTGCACTTGGCTTCAGCCCTCGGGGATCCATGCAAAGGCCCCACAGGCTAGGACACCTGATCACCCAGCCTAGGCCTCTGCTCCCCTACTGGTGGGACAGACGGCTCTGAGAGGCCTCTACCAGAGTCCCTACCCCTGAGCCAGTGCTACTGTCCAGAAAGGGGCTCGAGGAAATCGTCACACTCATCCAGGTAAGCACACCTTGACAGAGGGTTCTGCTGGTCCCTAAACGCATGATTGTCACCGAGATGCAAATTTTGATACTTTATCCTAATGCAGAGGCAGCCTAGCTCTCTGCAGGGCCCTAGTGCTGGCTGAACCTATGCAGACTTGGGTCAACTTTCCTCAAGCCTGCTGGACATGTGGAAGCTGGGCAAACCTGACCGTGGCCCTCCCTGGGACCCTGACTTGATTTCATTCCCTCTCACTCCCACTATGGCTAGGTAGCTGTCTCAGGAGTACGTATCTCAGGACTGGCAAACAAGATTGTCGTGATGGAAGAAATGCAAGAGAAAATCCAGAAAGCCTTCTCCAGTACTCACACACCCTTTCATTCCTCTGCTGTTTTCCATAAAACCAAGACTCCACATGTGTCCATTTAGATACTACCTGAAGACTCATGACCCCAGATCTCCCAATTGACCCTCCATCCTGAGAGAACTCGCGTGAAGTGAGGTCCTAGGATTAAATCAAGGAGCCCAGGAAATTCTCCCCATGAAGCTATCCTAAGAATGTACACATATAGGCCGGCGCCCTGACTCACTTGGCTAATCCACCGCCTGTGGCGCCAGCACCCCAGGTTCTAGTCCAGGTTGCTCCTCTTCCAGTCCAGCTCTCTACTGTGGCCCGGGAGGGCAGTGGAGGATGGCTCAAGTGCTTCGACCCTGTACCCGCATGGGAGACCAGGAAAGGCACCTGGCTCCTGGCTTCAGATCGGTGTAGCGCTGGCCGTAGTGGCCATTTGGGCGGTGAACCAACGGAAAAAGGAAGACCTTTCTCTCTGTGTGTCTCTCTCTCTCTAACTCTGCTTGTCAAAAAAACGAAGGAGCCTCTGGGCTCTTCCTGGGTTGGGGGTCATGAAGAGAGAGTGAGGAGCTGAGGGAATAGTAGTCAGAAAGTGGAGAGGTCATTCTATCAGATTCACCTTCCCCAGACAGGCAGGATGCTAGGGAAGATGACTGCACCCAGGCAGGTGTGGCTGCTTCCACAATGGTGCAGAGGACTAGGGAGTGCTCATGCTGATAATTTGGATCAAAACACATACAAAGATCTATAGAAACACAGATTCTGCTTCTTGTCTTTCCACTGACAATTATAATCCCAGAGAGAGCATTCACCAAGGGACAGCAACCACCCTGGTACTCATCACTGGACACCTTCCTTCTTGGGTTCCTGTGTGTGGAGGACTCCATTATTTTTTTCAGCCACAAAAGGCGGAGGGAGAGAAGGGGAAGTCGGGACAGGCCCATTTCTGGAGCAGCAGCGCCATCCAGCGGAAGCTGTTTCAGAATGGCATACAGTCCATCCAGCACATCCCACGAGGAAGGCCCGGAACTCAGGGAGAGTGAGTTCAGTGCCCAGAGCAGGCACCAGCAAGGTTGGTGTGGAAAAGTTGAGTGTAGGACTACCCACCCAGGGATCCTGAGAGGCCCTGTCTGCCAGGCTACAGAAGTCATGTGGGACAGTCCTCAGGGGCGGCCATGGTGCACAGCCTGCAGCTGAAGCATCTCAGGGCACTGTGTCTCTGCACAGGAGGGGAGGCAGCACTTCCTGACTCTCCCCACCAGGTCACAGCAGGGAGCCCGAGCAGCTCTGCCCCCCTGCACTGGGTGAGCTTTACTCTCCCGGCCCCCCACACCCTGCAGGTCTCAGGGGCACAGCAGATTCCTGCTCGCTGAGGTCACAGCTCCCTCAGCACAGGCGACACCTGACTGGCACTGAGGAGGAGCCGCACACCTGTCACACTGATGACCGCCGTTCCCCGCTGGCCTGCATCTGTGCTCCTGCGGTGGCTGGGTCCTCCCGGAATGGCCGCCATGCTGATCAGGTCACCTATGAGGGGACAGAGGTAGGAAAATGTTCCAGTCCCTTTGGTGCTCATGTAACCCCCTTTCCCTCAACAAGCCCCTGTGTTCCTCCACCAGGCAGGTCCTGGGCCACTGGGAGTCTCCCAGACAATTCACCGTCAAAAATCTGCCACCCTACTTGACTCCTGAGACAACAGAAGGGAGGAAAATGCCCACAGCACCCGCTCAGCACAAAATGGAAGAGGCTTCCATAAGCCCCGCCCAGACATGGCTGCCACTAGGCTCTTCCCACCAGGTCACAGCTGCCATGAATCCCAGAGCTCCGACCCCTGTAACTGCCTGTGTCCGGGCCTTCAGAGCCCACTCGATGTGGAGACCTGAGCTGGCTGGGCCTCCACGGATTTGAGCCCTACAGGGAACATCGTCTTGGCACCAACCTATACCCTCACTTCCCTGCCAAGCCAGTCCCGCCCAGGCGCATAGCCACCACCTGAGGAGATCCGCAAATGAATTCCTCTTGATGGCAGTATTGCACCACAAATGCCATTCTCCTGTTCCCTCCAGTCCTCCCTCCTCCCTGCGTGGAAGAAAAAACAACCAGTCCTGTCCCAACAGATACCTAGCATGGCTGCCTGGTTCCTAGGGACCAGGAGGAGCTAGGGCAATGTACTGGGTGTTAGACATACCCGGAGCCCATGCAGTCTGGTTTAAGCACGCAGTCCTGGGCTGCCCTTGAGAACTTGCTCATCGGACTCTCCTTAGGGCACCCCCTCGTGGGGGCAGGGCACCTGCACCTAGCCAGGCCCCACTGTCTGCACCACAAGTTGCTTAGGCTCTCCGGGATACAAGCAAAGATCCCACTGGCTCTCACCCAATCCCATTCTGAAAAGCGGGGGACTTTACACTGTCACTGAACCCTGCCACGCCAGCCTGCCCCGGAGGTACAGGGCAGCCAGAGAATCTGAATCAGTCATTGACAAGTCATTCCCACATGACAGCTCATCCAGGCAGACTGAAAGGGTATGTAGTCAGAGGTACTGGGAAGGAAGAGAGGAATGAGTACAGCCATCCCAGGACCACAGGCCTCACGAAACCTGTACTCTCACAGGGCTCCTCCCTGGTCTGTAGATGTGGAGGTCCCACACTCAGGACGGGAGACAAGGGCCACAGCAAACACACTAACTCTCCATGCGCCTGCCCAGGGTCACTGCCTGAAGGACACACATATTGGTGGTAACTCATGAATTAGGAGGAATCTATCCACACTACATCATACAGACAATTGAACGGAATGGAACAAGAAGGGGTATACATATGCATGTATAGACCTGATAACGTATAAGTGACATAGTATCTTTACAGGCAAGTGAGAATCATTGAGGGAAGGTGTGGTCACAGCCACATTGCAAATGCAGCAACCTGGATTGTATAGCAAACCCATGGGTCCTACACAGGGTTACCTGAACACACAAATACACTCTGCACTCCTCCACTCCATGGAAACACAACCTTGGAACCAGGGAAGTGATCAGCACATCATCCCAACTGTCCTCCCATCAAAGGTAGGCCCTGTCACTCCCGCTGCCCCCACAATGCCCTGCTTCTTACCCAGGGCAGCTCCTGTGGGTTGAGATGGAGTTTGAGTGGGATGAGATGCCAGTTTGGGAAGTCTCCACTGTCTTTTCTCCAGGATGGGCTGGAAAAGGGACAAAAGAAAGCAAATGAGAAGATGACATCCAGGAACTCATCCTTTATGAGCTTAGGACTCAATGTATCCAGGAAAGCAACAACTCTGCCTGTGAAAGCAACATTGCACCAGAGCTTACAAATAAATTCATGTGGACCTAGGAAGGTAGCAGTGGTTAGGGCCTATAATGTAAAAAGTTATGCTATCTGCAGGGACCTCTAAACATCCTTACTCTTTTTGTTGTGTTCTGCACAGTGAGATTCCACAAGGGGAGCAGAGAGGGAGACATCGTTTCCCCCAGGACCCCAGTACAGCACACACTGCTGAAAGGCCTCGTGCATTAGGTTCCTTTCTTTGCTGGGTTCATCCACAAAGGGTAGGAGAGGAGAAGATGGGGGCAGGTGGCAATAGTGGGGCAACACAGCCATGAAATGTAAGGGGTCTGACTGTGCCTTCCCCTCTCTCTGTGCAGACCCTAGTAGAATGTTTGTGATTAGGGAACAGTGGGGAGGATGCAATCACAGTTCTTGTTGCTGCCCAGGGCCCTCCAGGAGGTGCCTCCTTAATGGGTCTGGATCGGATCACCCAGGGGTGGAACCTGGGGGAAAGGAAGACATGGACAGGTGGCAGAGGAGGGCAGGCCTCACTGGCTGCCATATTTGAGACAAGCAGCTGAGTTTCTGTGGACACTGGCCCTGCCGAAAAACCAGGTGAGAACTCCTGATTGTCTGGAGCTAGACCTAAAGCAGTTCAGGGTTTCAAGTCCGTTCCTGTCCCAGTTGTGTGTTACATTCTGGCACCCCTCAAACAAAGTCTGCTCTTCATAGGCAACATCCACTAGGTCACTGCCTCTGCTGGCTCCTCCCACACTGCTAGGACCCCACCCCTAGGGGGCCCCTGTCATCCAGGCTCCTTCTGCTAAGGACAACTGCAGTCAGGAGTGGCTCTACGCTCCTGCCGGGACCAGGAGCTCTCAGGAGCTCACAGGGAGGCTGAATGTAAGGACTCGCAGCCAGATACCATGCAATGGAAATGGATCAGTTCTAATGGCCATAAGCAGATCCCGAAACTGGAAGACTCCTGTGTTCTTGTAGGAGGAGGCAGGTTCAAATTGAAAGAGTCCTCTTGGGGCCCAGAGGTCATCTAAAACAGTGACCCCAATGCTTTAGGGCATGAGGGGATTAGGAAAATGAGATAGAATCCTGATCAGAATCAACCTTAGGTCTTTGCGGAGACTTCTGCAAACCCCACCCAGACAAGGCCGCCACTAGAATCCCAATTCTGCATGCTGGGACAATCCATCACACCACCTGGAGCTCAGTACGGGGCTCACCTGTGTTCAGGGCTTCCACAACCCACAGGCTGCAGTGGCCACGCTGGCTCTGGACCCAAGGGTTCTGAACTCTCACAGGGTGCAGCCTTGGGACCCATCTGCATCTTCCCTTTACTGCCAAGCCAGTCCACACATGCACATACTGGAAGGGTTGGTGAGATGCGACAACTGCTTCCTAGTGATGGCAGAATTGCACCACAAATGCCACCTGCCCTGAACCCCAACATTTCCTCCCTCTGCCTTGACACAGCTTGGGGGTTGCACATGGGACCAGTACACAAGGGATGTCTGTAAGGACCCTGAGCCACAGTAGGGACCTGCGCCTAAGCCAGCCCCACCATCTACACCACCCTTGGCTTCAGCCCTGGAAAATCCTTGCAAAGGCCCCACAGGCTGGGACACCTCCTCATCCAGGCACAGGCTGACTCGGACACTGTCACTGGAATGTTCCAGGTGCCTTCTAATACGAGGAAGAGTGGCTGTGGGGCTCTCAGGAAACGCTGGCGCTGTCCTAGGCCATGTCACCCAGCACCTCCAGAACTGGTGTGAAAACATGGGAGTGTGGATCTCCCAGGGAGACCTGGGAGTCTACTAGGAAGGTAGTGGAGGCAGGCCACCGTGCCTGTCATAATTAGCAGCTTGGAGCCAGAAGCAATGCACAGCACTTTTCCTGCCACTCAAGCCTTGAAGGAAAACCAATGTCAGGCAGCTTGCACAGCTTAGAGTTGTTGAGAGGTCTGCATTAACACGGTTGCTCTTACTAGAAAACAGGGGGATTCCATATGACAGGGAAGCTGACTGTAGTCTCTGACTCAGGACTTGTGGCACCACAGACCCAGCTCTGAGGAGCAGAGGGAAAGAGCACTGTCACAGTCACAACCTGGTACTGGGGACCTGCCCACAAGACTTTCAAATCATCCCTGACCCAGGGTTTGGGAAACAGGGCCTGAAAACCTGAGGTCTTAATGCACAATAATCCACATGGCCAAACGGTGAACCTCAACAGTGAGCCATGAATGGAGACAGACAGGTTTCAACACTATTTCGAGACCATGACAAAACAGGATTGGATGATTGGGTCTAGAAACTTCCTAGCATACTCCTGAGAGAAGCTGACATGGACGTGCCTTTAGCATGAAGTAGCTGGCAAAGAGCACGAACCACCCTAGACATTCTGCTCACCTGCCCCTGGGAGACACCAAGTCTCCAAAGAAGGGCTGTGTCCCCAGGAGAATGCACCAGGTTCCTGGGCTTAACAGACACAACAGAGAGGTGGTAGAAATGAAAAAGACCAGTGAGGTGTCTGCCCTGGGAGCACAGAGGGAATCCTGGTCTAGTGGAGGTGGGGTGCTACACCCAACCCTCCAGGGCTTATGCAGCATCTGCTGACATCTTGATTACCAGGGTCTTAGTGTGAGATCTGCAGAGCCAGGGACCTCAGACACAAAGGTGATTCTAGATTCTTGGGTTCCATTATGTGGAGGACACCATTATTTTTTTCAGCCACAAAAGGCGGAGGGAGAGATGGGGAAGAGGGGATGGTTCCATTTCTGGAGCAGCAGCGCCATCCAGCGGAAGCTGTTTCAGAATGAACTGTGTCCTCCAGCACATCCAACATGGAAGGCTGGCAAGTGAGGGGGATAGAGGTCAGTGCCCAAAGCAGGCAGCAGCAAGGTTGGTGTGGAAAGTTCAGTGCCAGGCTCCCCCACCCAGGGATCCTGAGAGGCCCTGTCTGCCAGGCTACAGAAGTCATGTGGGACAGTCCTCAGGGGTCACAATGGTGCACAGCCTGCAGCTGAAGCATCTCAGGGCACTGTGTCTCTGCACAGGAGGGGAGGCAGCACTTCCTGACTCTCCCCACCAGGTCACAGCAGGGAGCCTGAGCAGCTCTGCTCCCCTGCACTGGGTGAGCTTTACTCTCCCTGCCCCCCACACCCTGCAGGTCTCAGGGGCACAGCAGATTCCTGCTCGCTGATGTCACAGCTCCCTCAGCACAGGCGACACCTGACTGGCACTGAGGAGGAGCCGCACACCTGTCACACTGATGACCGCCGTTCCCCGCTGGACTGCATCTGTGCTCCTGCGGGGACTGGGTACTCCTGGGATGGCCGCCAGGCTGATCAGGTCACCTATGAGGGGACAGAGGTAGGAAAATGCTGCAGTCCCTACTGGAGCTCATGTAACCCCCTTTCCCTCAACAAGACCCTGCATTCCTCTACCAGGCACTGGAAGTGTCCATACAATTCAGAATACAAACTGTGCTACCCTAGGTCACCCTTAAGACAAGAGGAGGGATGAAAATGCCCATAGCTCCTCCTCAGACAAAATGGCCGAGGCTTCTACAAGCCCCGCCCAGACATGCTGGCCTCCAGTCTCTGGACTCTTCCAGGCTAGGACACAGAGGCTACAAGTCCCGGAGCTCAGCCCCTGCCACTGCCTGTTCCCGGCTTCCAGAGCCCGCCCGGTTCTGGGATTCCAGCTGGCCAGAGCTTGCAAGGGGGCCCCAGGAAGGGCACACACTCTCACTTCCATGCCAAGCCAGTCAGGCGCACGCTCACAGCCACCACTGGCGGCATCTGCAACGAATTCCTCTTGATGGCAGTATTGCACCACAAATGCAATTTGCCCTGTTCCTGCCAGTGCTCCCTCCTCCCTGTGCGCAGGAAAAAACACCCAGTGCAGTCCAAGGAGTGCACAGCATGGCTGCCCAGTTCAGAGAGGCACAGGAGGAGCTAGGGCAATGCACTGGGTGCTAAACAGACACAGAGCCCATGCAGCTTGGCCTCAGCACCCAGTGCTGGGCTGCCCTAGGGACCAATGTTCACTGGATGCTCCTTAGAACAACCCCTGTGGGTGTAGGGCACCTGCACCTAGCCTGGCCACACTGTCTGTACTGCCAGTGGCTTAAGCCCTCGGGGATCCAATGGGCTCTACCCATTCCCATTCTGAAAACTGGCGCGATGGCAGGGGCAACGGGGCTCTTGGCCGAAGAGAGTTAGAAGGTCTTGGAGCAAAGGGCTCAGACCAAGCGCTCAGTTCAGCCTGCGACGCTTATGATTGCAGTCAACACTTTGAAATGTCCAGCTCACCTAAGCCAGTCATCTCTCCACCCGCTTTCTTAAGGTCCGGCTCAGTTTATGAACCTCTTAAAAGCATTAATCTTCCAAGACATGATAATGAAACGCTATGGGATAAATTGGATCATATTACAAAATTGTCAAGTCAACATTGCTGCTGAATCTTAGTCTGGCCACAGGTTTCTTTCCCACTAAAACCTGCAGGGGTGATCAGATGGCCAAACCCACGACAGCCTGTACTGTGCTGCTGGGCGGCCTGGGGTTCGGCTCTTCCATACAGGAGCACTGATCATGACAAGGGAAGGACCCATGAGCTGGAGCATTCGGCTATAAAATGTACGAGAGAAATTCTCTACTGCTATATGCGTCAGGCCAATAAGGTCCAGCAGTTTAAGCAGGATCCACGCCCAACAACGTGTCTTCACTCTCCTTTCAATGTGCATACAGGAGATGAATCGCTGTCTTATGAGGAATATGGTCTTCTTTAGATAAATGCAGTGTCCCCCTATCTCCTTTACCTCGTGGAAATGATTTCCTCAGGACTCCAGATTATCTCTAACACTGACGAGAGGAACAGATTTGGACATACGAAGAGCCGAGAAGTCAGGAGCAGCACTTGGGCAGAGCGGCACAACCATGAGAAAAGAGTCACAACAGAAAGATTTCTGCAAGCCAAGAAGCAACAACTTAGAAGAAACTAAACCTGCTAACACCTTGAACTTGGGCTTCTGACTGAACTTCGGCTTCAGAACTTGAGAAAATAAATTTCTCTGTTTATGGCACCCAATCTGGATACATATGACATCCCTATCAAACTAATGCAGTTGCTAAATCTGACTTAGGAAGAAATAGTAAAATGGGGGGGGGGGCAACACTGTCCATAGTGAGTGCAGCTACCACCTGCAGTGCCAGCGTCCCATATAGGTGCTGGTTCAAGTCCTGGCTGCTCCATTTCCAATGCAGCTCTCTGCTATGGCCTGGGAAAGCAGTGGAAGATGCCCCAGGCAAAAGAAACAGAAAAATGACACAGACCTAGAACCGTGTTTCTCAACCTTTTTGTTGTTGTTGTTGCCCCCAAGTGGGGGGAAACTATCGAATTAAAATTCTCCTAGAGCTAAGAAATTATATGTTAAGGAGTAAGATTTTCTTTAGTAGATTTGAGCCTTAGGGTTTCTGTATGATATTGTGATGTCTAAGAATTTTTTACTCTACCTCTCCAAGAACCAATTCTATTATTTGAGGAATGCATGATTTGTAGAAAGTATATCCGTGCTTTTAAACGTATGGTAATAAATCTAAAGGATATCCAGATGGAACGTGTTCTAGGGAAAACAGAAGTTATTGTTATCCACTGAATTGCATCCCCTCCCACCAAAAAATTTTATATTGTTAAACTCCCAGTCCTTTTTATTAGTACATAGATTATATCTGAAAATGTATTACAGTTCATGAAAGATTAAAAAAAAGTATCTTTTCAGGCAGGTGAGAATGAATGAGTGAAGGGGTGGTTGTCTAATGGGGCACAGCCACGACTGCATGTGGAGATAACTGGAGCTATAGCAAAACCACGGGTCCTGGACGGAGGCACCTCCATGTGCGAATGGACTCTGCACTGCTCCATACAATACAGACAAAACCTGGGACTCTATAGGGGTGATGACATTGGACCCAAGGAAGTGAGGCAGGGCATCGTCCTCTCTGTCCTCCCATCTGATGTGAGCCCTACGCTTCCGCTGCCCCCACAATGCCCTGCTTCTTACCCAGGCCAGCTCCTGTGTCTTTGGGCAGGATGAGATGCCGGTTTGGGAAGCCTCCACTATCCTCTCTCTGGGATGGGCTGAAAAAGGACAAAAGAGAAAAAATAATGAGACACCTGGGGGCCTTGCCATACTAGAAAAGTAGTGGGATGCAGGCCACTGCACTTGGCTTAGAAGGACACCCACTGTCACCGGTGCCGCGGCTCACTAGGCTAATCCTCTGCCTTACAGCGCCGGCACACCGAGTTCTAGTCCCGGTCGGGGCACCGGATTCTATCCCGGTTGCCCCTCTTCCAGGCTAGCTCTCTGCTGTGGCCCAGGAGTGCAGTGGATGATGGCCCAAGTGCTTGGGCCCTGCTCCCCAAGGGAGACCAGGATAAGTATCTGGCTCCTGCCACTGGATCAGCCCGGTGCGCCGGCCGCAGTGCGCCAGCCGCGGCAGCCATTGGAAGGTGAATCAACGGTAAAGGAAGACCTTTCTCTCTGTCTCTCTCTCTCACTGTCCACTCTGCCTGTCAAGATCCAAAAGATAAAAGAAATTAAATTATGGATACCCACTGTCAGGTAACTGAACAACTTTGAGAGATCTTGAGCGGTTTGCATTAACAAAGCTACTATTACCGGAAAACAGTGGGGTTGCATGTGACAGAGAAGGTGTCTATACTCTCTCACTCAGGACATGCAGCACCAAGGCCCCAGTTCTAAGGACAGGACGGAACCAGCACCATCACAGTCAGAGCCTGGACTGGGGACCAGCCCACATCCCTGACCCAGGGTTTTTGAAACAGGCCTGGCAGCCCTGAATCTCTTAACCCACACAAGACTACATGGCAAATCGATGAACCTCAACAGTGAGAAATCAATGCGGACAGACAGATTTTCAGCACTGTATCGAGACTGTGACAGAGGAATTGGTGGATCGGTCTAGAGACATCTTTAAAATAGACTCCTAAGAGAATCTGACAAGGACAAGGCCTTTAACATGAATTAGCTGGCAAAGAGCATGACCTACCCTAGACGGTCTGCTCACTTGCCCCTGGGAGACACCAGCTCACCAAGGAAGGGCTGTGTCCCCAGGAGAATGCACCAGGTTAATGGGCTTAACAGACACAACAGAGAGGTGCTAGAAATGAAAAAGACCAGGGAGGTGTCTGCCCTGGGAGCACAGAGGGAATCCTGGTCTAGTGGAGGTGGGGGTGCTACACCCAACCCTGCAGGGCTTCTGCAGCATCTGCTGACATCTTGATTGCCAGGGTCCTAGTGTGAGATCTGCAGAGCCAGGAACCTCAGACACAAAGGAGATTCTAGATTCTTGGGTTCCATTATGTGGAGGACACCATTATTTTTTTCAGCCACAAAAGGCGGAGGGAGAGATGGGGAAGATGGGATGGTTCATTTCTGGAGCAGCAGCGCCATCCAGCGGAAGCAGTTTCAGAATGAACTGTGTCCTCCAGCACATCCAACATGGAAGGCTGGCAAGTGAGAGGGAGAGTTCAGTGTCCACAGCAGGCACCAGCAAGGCTGGTGTGGAAAGCTGAGTGCTGGGCTCCCCCACCCAGGGATCCTGAGAGGCCCGGACTGCAAGGCTACAGAAGCGGTGGGGCCAGTGCTCTGGGGCCGCCATATTGCACAGCCTGCAGCTGAAGCATCTCAGGGCACTGAGTGTCTGCACAGGAGACTGATGTCCACCGTTCCTCGCTGGACTGCATCTCTACTCCTGCGGGGACAGGGGTCCTCCTGGGATGGCCGCCATGCTGATCAGGTCACCTATGAGGGGACATAGGTAGGAAAATATTCCAGTCCCTTTGGTCCCCTTTCCCTCAACAAGCCCCGGCGTTCCTACCCAGGCAGTTCCTGGACCACTGGGAGTTTTCAGACACTTCAGAACAGAAAGTGTTGCACCCACTTCACTCCTAAGTAAACAGGGACCAAATGCCCAAAGCTCTTGCTCAGACAAAATGGCTGACGCTTCCACAAGCCCCGCCCAGACATGGCGGCCACAGGGCTCCTGGCTATGTCAGGTTAGGACACAGCGGCCGCAGTTTCCGGAGCTCAGACACCCTGCCACTGCCTGTGTTCGGAAACTCCAGATTGCACTCACTGCAAGGAACCGAGCTGTCCCGGGCCTCCACGGGATCCGCACACGCCTGCACACTCAGGTCGCTGGGAAGCAAGTTCTGCGCAGGCGCTCAGCCGCCAGCCTGGCAGTTTCTGCAAGTGAATTCCTCTTGATGGCAGTATTGCACCACAAATGCCATCTACCCTGTACCCGCGGGTTCTCCCTCCTCCCTTCGTGAAGGGAAAAAACGGCGCTGTCCAGTGGGTGCCTGCATGGCTGCAATCCACATGGCTATGCTGCCTGGGTCTGATGGGAGCACCAGGAGCTAAGGCAATGCACTGGGTGCTGAACCCATCTGGTGCCCAGGCAGCCTGGCCTTAGCAAGCAACTCTTATGTTGTCCTCAGGACCACTACTCAGTGGACACTCCTAAGGGCAACATCAGCGGGCGTAGGCACAACGTCAGGCCAGGCTGCACTGACCCCACACAAATGGCTTCAGGCCTCTGGGATCAAGGCATAGGACCAGGCGCTTTGACACAATCCTATACTGACAACAGTGGGATTCAGATCTTGTAACACAGCCCTGCCACGACAGCTTTCCCAGGAGGTCTAGGACAGGCAGATACACTGACCCAGTCACTGATGAGTCATTTTGACATAATGTCTCATCCAGGCACACTTAAAGGGTCTGTACCCAGAGTTACTGGGAAGGAAGAGAGGGAAGGGTTACAGCCACCCCAGGACCACAGGCCTCAGTACCTCTCTACTCTCACAGGGCTCTCCTCTGCTCTGGACAATCAGGGTCCCACACTTGGGTCAGTGAGGACTGGAGCCACGAATCACAGCAAACATACCTAGTCTCCTTGCACCTGACCAAGGATCACTGCTTGAGAACTCCCAGGTTTGCAGAAGGAAACACATACTAGTGATAACTCATGATTTAGGAGGCATCTCCATCACAGTGCATCACTCAGGAAGAAGTGGGGATGGAGAAGGAACAGGAATAAGTATGCATACACAGACACGGTTAAAGTGGGTGTCAGTGTCTTTAGAGGCAAGTCGGAATGAATGAATGAAAGGGTGGTTGTGTTATCGGGACACAGCCACAGTTGCACATAGAGCTATCTGGGAAATAATGCAAATCCACGGGTACCGCACACGGTCTCCTCCATGTGCTAAACACCCTGCACTCCTCCACACCAAGGAGATGCAACCTGGTCCTAGTTCTTACAGAAGCTGAAACAACATGGGTCAACCTCCCCTAACCCTTGTAGAAAGGTCCCAGTCTGCTGAACCTGTCCTTGGTCCTGCTTGGACCCTGAATTAATTCTACTCCCACACATGGCTAGGTTGGATGTCTAAGAATACCAATTTGATGACAGGTAAACACCACAGTCGTCATGGACAAAAATGCATGCAACTACCAACAAGGATTCTGCAGTACTACACAATCCTCTTATTCCTCCTCTCCATTTCCTAGTAAACCAAGGATCAACACGTGTCCACTTAGATGCAGTCTGAAACCGGGTGTCCTAGCTCTGACAACTGGCTCTCCGTGCTGAAAGGGTTTCCCATGAATGGAGGCCCTAGGCCTAAGGCCTAGGACTCAAATAAATTGTCTCCATGAAGCCATGCTAAGAATGTACAATTGCAAACACAGCTGGTATCTTTAACTCTGCACAAAGAAGAAAGCCCAGGAAATAGTACCACTAGAAATACAGGTGGGCCCAGACCACCTACCTCCCCTCTGGGAACTCTCTAACCTGAGCGGTCTCCTAGTTCCTGGGAGGTCAGCCTGAACACCAGGTCTCCAATGGTCAGACACAAAGATGGGAAGTGCAATACCACCACCTCAAAGACACTGGAGGACAGGAAGATTGAGGATCCTTGACACTAAGACAGCAGGGCTGGAACACCTGGCTCCTCTCCAGGGCTGTTCCCTGGTCTTCAGATAAAGATTCCCACACAATGGGCATTCAGGAGGTGACCTAAGTGCTACAACCAAGACACACCTCCCCTCCTAGCAGCTGACTCAGGTTCCCCGTTGTTGTCCAATGCCCATCAGTGAGCTGCCAGAGAAAATACATAGACATGATCCCAGTAATGGAAGGATCATTTTCAACAGTGTCCACCCCAACATGCATTTGGGAAACAATGAAAGTACGACAAGGCATAGAACCAAATATAGAGAAAGTATTAAATATGCAAGAACATGCATGACAACCCGAACAACGCTTTATAACCTCTAGGGCTGCTCCCTAGACTTTAAAATGTCCAAGGTTTTGGCTAGAGAGGGGCCTCCTGGCTCCCCTGGGTTGATCGTGATGAAGAGAGAGAGAGAGAGGAGCTGAGGGAAAAGTAGTCAGAAGCTGGAGAGGCCATTCTATCAGAGGCGCTGATCCACCTGCCCCAGACATGCAGGATGCTAGGGAAGACCACTGCACCCAGGCAGCTGTGGCTGCTTCCCCAGTGTGATCAGGACACTGGGCAGAGGTCATGGTGACATTCTGATCAGAACACACATGGCAATGAAGTATCTACAGATACACAGGTGATTTCTAGTCTTCCCACTGAAAATTACAGTCTGAGAGACAGCATTCAAATGGGATGGCAACTCTGCAGCTACCCCAACATTGGAAATATTCATTCTTGGGTTCCTGTATTTGGAATATGCCATATTTTTTTCAGCCACTAAAGGTGGAGGGAGAGCTGGGAAAGGGGGTGCTTCCGTTTCTGGAGCAGCAGCGCCATCCAGCGGAAGCTGTTTCAGAATGAACTGTGTCCTCCAGCACATCCCACAGGGAAGGCTGGCAAGTGAGGGGAGAGAGTTCAGTGCCCAGATCAGGAACCAGCGAGGTTGGTGTGGAAAGCTGAGTGCCAGGTTCTCCCACCCAGGGATCCTGAGAGGCCCGGACTGCAAGGCTGCAGAAGCGGTGGGGCCGGTGCTCAGGGGCCGCCATGGTGCACAGCCTGCAGCTGGAGCATCTCAGGGCACTGTGTCTCTGCACAGGAGGGGAGGC